TCTAATGGAATCCAAATGGAAAAGGACAGGTTGCGTGTTCACGGGTGACATGGAGAACGGGATGCAGGCAGTCTTGAAGCTATTTGAAAGTGATGACAGAAAACCGATTACAGGAGAAATGCTGAAGCCATGTATACCACATGGAACTCAAGGAACAAACATTAGCAGTAATAACAGATAACTACAGTTGCGTTTTCCAAGTTATTGATATTAGGTTTTTCATTAGGTTGAAGTAACCTTTCAAATAATTGAATAATTTTTTGTAGTGATTTATTAATCGCAGGTGACAGGAGATACCTATACTTGTTCACATTAGCCAAATAATAACCAGGTAATACTTTGGTTTAGGTGAATTCTGGATTCAATTACAGACAAAAGCGAGCGTGTGAGAGTGTGGCTTGCGCTACTGGCAAGAATCTGTAAATAGTATAGGTAGCGAAGAGGAAAATGAATATCATTCTAAAGCAATATAAGAAGCATGATTGGAAGACAATAGAGGGGAAATAAGAATATTTTTCAAAATTGAGGTTCCTATATAAGGTTTTTATATTTTGTCATCAATATACACTATTTTGCCAAATGAGTAAACTGCTGCCTAATACCACTGTGTTCTGCCGTTACAAAAGTAGCTATGCAGAACATGGTATCACTGAATTATAATACAGTAACAATTATAAGAGTGTCATTTTGATAATTTCACTGGCTCAGCTAGTTAAAATCAAATCCTACAATTCTGACAGATAAGATAATTTTCTCTGTAGATGTAATACATGGTTACTTCTCACTTCGATAATTTGTAGCTTATTCCACAGATTTCAGCACCAATTAAAAAGATATTTTGTTTACTACAGGATCTAAAATTGTTTATTTATTGTGGGCAATGATGAATGTTTTAATGTCACAGTATTTATCTTCCCCAGTTATCTTTATTGTAATTTGTATCAACTTTTTCCTCTACAAGTTATAAGAAATGTTAAATTTACTCATCTTTTTGCCTGGTTTGAACTTTCAATGAATAATTTATGACTCGTTAGAGGTAGATGAAATTACTCAGACTTATTTATCACAAAAGTTAAAATCAACACCTAATAACGCCTAAAAAAAATTTTATTGCATATTTGATGACGACCACAGTAAGCAGATTCAATTGGAAGATGACTGTTTATGTATTAAAAGATTCAGCATATTGGACAACGTTTCTAATATGACAGAAATAAATTTATATCAGCATGATATTTTTTATTAAATGCCTAGACCAATTTTTAAAATGGCTTAGCTTCTTTATGAAATAGTGATTGTATATCTTTCTTTAGTCTCACAAGCAATGATTTTCAAAAAGTATGTGACTAACAACATAAATTGTCTAGACTTTTAGAAAAAGACAACTATCATTTATTTTTCATTGAGAAGTAGTTTTAACTTAAAAACATTCAAATGTGAGACAAACGATCGAATGCATTTAGGGTGGAAAATGTTTAACACAAAACGAATTACTACTTGGGAACATATCAAAGTTAACTCCAGAGTTAATCCTAGACGAGAAAATCTAGAGACCATTTGGTTACCAGTCGTACAATCTAATGTAATGATAATAACAGCTTTAATTTCTGAACAATGAAACTCATCAGACGAGCTGTTCATATGCCGACACCTCTTCAGTTGTACTGACTCATTTGAATTTTATCGACTTCTCTGTTATTTAAAAACTGTGTAACTCAGAACAGTTAGATGTAATTCTGTTGCCAATATCACCATTTAACATCATTATCATGTATATTTGAATTCTTTCAAATTACTCAAAGAAGACAAATTTCTAATGTGTTGATTTATAAAAATGTTAACTAAAACAGACAACAAAACAATATTAAATAAGTGAATATCAACGTGCTGTCATTGTCCTCTTAATAATTTACTGCATGTCACGGTTTAAGAAATACTTCATATCCGGTTTTAATGTCTTTCACCAATGTAATGTCAATGATTAGAGGTAATCAATTTCCAGTCTATGTAATATGAACACAAAATACTTCTCCAGTAGGTCATTATCACTAAGAGATTATTCAAACGGTGCGTTCAGTATATTTGATAGCGTGTGGCAGAAATGTTTATCTTATTCATCATCTGAAACAAAAAATACTACCACAACTTGTCACTGATTGCTTGGATATCTAGGTAAAAATATTCTCTGACCTTCCCTTTTAAAGAGTGCATTTATCACCATTCTGACCAACATCTTTGGCGTGAATTTAATACTCCTTAAAAAGTAATGACTACTTTTGGAGACGCGACATTTATTTCCTCCAAAGATGTTCGGTATTTTAGCATTATCTCTTGAAATGAATCTGGAGTACTGCAATGCAAATGATCTATCTGCTAATTCGCAAAACCGTCCAATGTTTTGTTGAGTAACAGGTGAAGCACAAATATTCTCAATGTTGGATGCAGTTACCAACATTCTCAAACTTAGGGTTAATAAAGACTTCTATCAATTTCTAACATAAGGCATTGTAAGTTGAGTCACCAAGATCACTTATTAGGCTGTAACTTAATCAACAAAATTCAGTCGGTCTATTGAAGATGAAATGGAAACATTCTTGCTAGTTTGTTTTGTGTGCAATTACATTAACCCAGAGTACATTTCGACAGCTTAGAAAGGTTTCGAATCGTTTTAAAAGTGTGAAATTAATCACTATGAATTTCATACATTTACTTCTGCTTTGTTTAGATTGAACATTCTATTGTGTAGTAAGATGTAAGAAAACGTGTTACTAAAAACAAAACATTTTTAGCTGTACTTCTGATACTTAAAGTGTAGTTTATAGCCATAAATTCAATTCCTGAAGGGTGATTTTTCCCTAAAAATCTATCCTTGACAGAAAGTCTATGTATTTCTTTTTTGCCATTAACACCAACACTTAACCCTAAAAGTAACCCCTAAGCCCAAGGCTTTTTATGTAAAGGATACTGAAAATTGATTTCCAAGCATTTTGTCCTAGAAGAACATATTTTTTCAGCCAGCCATTTTGATTGCCTTCTTCGCTTCATTCAAATGATTGAGGTCAGAAAGTATTAATCTAATATGGGTCAAAAAGTGGCGATTGATTCATCAGGGTTTTTCTCCACTATCGTTGCATCAGTCTTATTCATCACAGTAGAAGGCGAATTCTGTATTGTTATCATTATTATTATTTCTAATCAATTCTATTAAATTTTTACTCTTTTAGGTCATAAATCATGCTGAGCAGAAAAAATAAATTAAGCTAATGATAACCAGTTTATCTCACAGTTAAATCACTGTTTATTTATTCAGGAACTTATTTCTTGCTTACCTCATAAACCGTGATTAGGTGGATTGTAATACTTTCTTCGTAATAAAGTGTTTCTATATATCTAAGTGAGTAAAAGATGTGCACCACTAATATATACATATTATATATATATATATCGAAATTTAGCTCAAGATATTTTAAACTGTGTGAAGGGAAAATTGTGTCAGTTCGTTTTTGTGGAGCCAGTGAAACTAATCTTCCTAAAGTTATTTCATTTAATCGGAAGTTTTATGCTGTAAAATATAAATACATTCCTCTGAACGAACTGTTTCAGTGATTTCAAAAATGAGGTCAACTGAAAATCCTTTCATACTTAGGCGAATAGTAACAAGACAGTTGTGTAAGTGTCAGTATTAAGGACGAGATACATGACATTAGTTACACCCTAGTAACCAGCCAGTGTGTTCTCCTGTAAATCACAACCAGAACGTCTGTGAATGAGGCATAGGTTGATGTAAGTTACAATCTCAAACGGGACGTCAGTTCCATCGAAACCTACTTCTAGGGCTTCCTGAAGATTGTCTCCAATCATCTAATGTCAGCCTAAAGGTAAGATAAATTTAGTTCGCAAAATCTCCCGTGAAGATTATCCACAACACTATGTTTGCTAGCCTAGTCGCCGGTCTGCCCAATAGACCCTCTAACCAACAGGAGGTATACACGGTGTTTCACTTTTGACCTCTAGCCAAGTAGATATTTAGAAGTATATTGACTGAAGAAATATTGTTATTTCATATAAGTCTGTTGTTATCTTATAACGTGCAAACAACAGATGACCACTACAGGTCAACTGTATTTCATGACCTAATATTGTTGAGCATGAGCTTACACAGGCCAATAACGACTGCTTTGAAAGTGGAATAACTTTCTAAAAGTAAATACAAACCATTAACCTGTTAAAAGTTCACTCCAGTTGGTTCAATATTAACATGGCAGGAACATCTCACACAAAAGAATATCTCCAGACTTTTGAATCAATGTGGCTAAGTCTACTGAAGCATAAAAAACACAAGATTAGTATTAGTCTAAATTTTAATAAACTTTCCAACAAGATTGTTTTAGTCTAAAAAACGTTACTGATGCTACAAAATACAAAAAGAGATTTCGTGTTTCCAGCTTTCCTCCTTTGACTAAAATACATTTACAGTTTTCCTTAGGGAAGACATTAATAGCATTTCATGAATGGTCATCATCTTTTGTCGTCACCATCAGCAGATAGATGTTTCTTTTGTCTACTTTTCCCATATCTATTAATTCATTTAGTTGTTCATGTGCGTATATGCGTAATCATATATTTCATTTATATATGTGTACTTAACGCCAGATGTTACGTATTTGTCATCAAGCTGTTCATCCCACTATGCCTGAAATATCCCTACAAGACAAGCTAATTCCTATCACGTGTATACAAAACTTCATCACGCACAAAATGATATTTCTTCTAAGTTGCGGAGAAAATAGACAAAAACCTTACTATTACCAACCCGTTCACAGACACCACCCTATGAAGAAAAATATAAACTAGGCCATTTTTTAATCCCAATAAAGCAGAATAAACAGTCACTTCACGCGCAGTTAAAATACCACTGTCAGTCTGTTTGTCTCACAATCACAATCTGATTGGTAGATTGACGTAATATGGCTTCGGATGAATTTCGACCAGTTTATGATCGATTAGGCAATGGATAGGTATTTGTGGAAAATATGTCGATTGTTTTGACCACGTTCAGTTTTCGTTTGACGCAGAGTAACTTATGAATATTAATAACACTTTTGAAAAGGGAAGAATAAGATTACTGCAATGGATATTAGAACTCCTGTAGAACGTGATACTCCAAGTTCAAAATATCATTACGCTACGATAAAAAATAAATGTAAGTATCAGAAATATGTATTTTATCGATATGAATTTGTTGGAATGAATATTTGTTTTGCTTTTTTTCTTCTGTCAGACACAGTAGTAATCTGAATTAAAAGGAAATTAGGATTTCAGCGTGTTTTCAGTGGATAGCCAAATGATTAGGCTACTAGGGTTAAGTGGTAAACAGTATTTGACTTAGCGGGTGTAAGTGAGTTGGCCAACACAGAGCATTGCTATTGATTAGATTATGCATCAGGCTTAGTTGGCCAAGTTAATAATAGTTAACTGACATTTGGACTGTTAATCATGACTATGCTGTCAGAAAGTAATCGAACTTAAAATTCTTTATTAGTGTCAGGAGTGGAAAACTCAGGTCTATCACCTACGGAAAATTCAGCTGGATAAAGTTTTCCTTTCAAGTACAACTTACACCACCGTCTTATCACTGTGTCAATTTAATTTAATAAGCATATCTAAATATATGGTGACAGGAGCCCTCAGATAATGTACAATTAACTTTAAATAAAGGTATATTTTATGATTATAAGTTAATATTGCATGAAAACTGAATAGTCAGTGGACTTCCATAATCAATTCAAGTTGGAAAATTTCAGTAGGAAGGTTTGAGGCAATGTGAGTTACTTCAGAGTCATAGACACTCATTTCTTTTGAATACCAACAAGCATGAAACGTACCTTTTCTCGTTTTCCTATCTACTGAAGTAATGTACGGAAATGAACAGAAGAGTTTTTCTTTAAAAAGAACCTAAGTCACAGTCAGCTGAAGCAGAAAAGTATCTAATATAGTCGGTGATGACTGGGGCTGAAGTTAAAATCTGGGCCACTGAAGGCGTCGAACCAGCGGCCCCCGAACTGCTAGTCAGGAGTTCTACTATCTGAGATAGAAGATGCAACTACTAACCATATGATAACTTCACTGCAGTCACTGGATGTAACGCCAAGATATTAATTTTTCAAAGAAATTCGGTAGTTTAGTGTTTCAGACTTCACTTTTAAGTGTAGATAGATTTCACATATTCATTACTGTGATCCAAGTGGCAAATGCAGTTTTTATTTCAATAGACATAGTAGGACATCATTATTCCTTACTTAAACATTTCAAATTGCAATCAGTCAGTGCAACAGTGGATAAATGTGGTTGAAAATTAGAACTCAATTTATGTAGATTTTCTATAGAAGGAGTTTTTTGACACATCGTTCAGAAGTTCCATATGGAGAATGATAGAACTCTTGCTGCCTGTATTATTTTTCATGCCATATATGCTACATGGAAACGTTCTTCAGGTAAACACGTCGAGAATTTAAGCTGTCAGATTATCGAAAAATAAAGTTTGTTCAGTCATCAGATCTATAATCGACCTTATCTGTCTTAGCACTGGATGTGTAATTTTTGTTTTTTGTTTCTCAATTGCATTATTTTCTCCCCTTACACCCCTATTAAATAACTGTTGAACTAATCTGACATGTAATACAACACACTGACATTCTGTTGAAATTATTGCTACATGAATAGTAATAATAATAATAATAGAAGACAAGCTAAATGTTCAGTGTACATCTGAAAAGCATCCTTTTCTGGGAGATGATTTCCAGATTGAAGCACATGTGAGTTACCGAATTACTAAGTCGAAGTTTTCTACTTATAATGTAGTGGTTTCGGGTGTCACCCAACCAAATGGGTTTTCGAGTCACTGAAATTCATACTCCAATGTTTCCAGCGTGACGCTTAATGAAAAAGGAATTTGGGTGAACTTCTATAGGATATATTGAAATTTATTGTGGGGACGTGGCGGGTATTTATTTTTTTCATTTTTTTGAGCTTATTTCTAACATTTAATTAGTAAGTTTACGTAATGAAAATTTACCGTAACTTATACTTAGCATGAAATTTCTAAAAGACCTATTCTTTGGAGATTATCATTCTTTGGTTAGATAAGTCAATGATGTCGTGACAGTCACTGTAAAATTGACAAGTGCGGTGAGGAGGTTTTTTTTACTATTGTCGCTCAATAGATAGTTTTTGTATAAAATACAACAGTTTTGCGTTTTTCTAAGCTGTAGGATTTACTCAGTCTTTGAGAAGTAGTTTATGATTCCAGCTAAATTAAAATAATTCAAGCTGCCTGTGAAAATATCACCTGATGCTACCTCCATCCAAGTCAATCGACTTGATTTGATGAATAAATTGACTTCGTTTTCTGACTGACCAGTAGAACAGTAAGTATTAGTAGTAATTTCAAGCATAACTTACATATTATTCTGGAGAATCATTTGAATTGTTTTTCATTGTGAATGGTGGCGAGTGTTATTTTAGCCAACAAGTGTTTTGAATAATTTGTGATACTTTCTCATGTCCCTTATTTCGTGTTAGCTTCACATGCTTGTGTTTATTTGATTACTGGTTTTTTGGAAGTGAATAATGAGTAAATGTATCTGTCTTCCTACTAACAGTTGTGAAATGTCTTTATAATAATTCAGAGTTAAATTTGGTTAGGAAATATTTTGAAGGCGATTTCATGCTGCTAGTCAGTAGTATTTTATTTAGTTACCAGTCTGTTTGAAACATCTGTACCCTTAATTATGCACAGTTTAGGGATGGTAAGCGTCTATACATAGTTAGACTGCCAGGGTGACTGTAGTACTTATGCAACATAAATGAAGTAAGTTGTAAGGAGTTTTGATTAAGTGAGGCTTGCTCTGAAAGATCTTAAATTTTTGATTCTTGTTTGGGGAACAGTTGAAATTAGTGGCTGAAGAATTTAAGCGAGAATGAGAATTTCCTCTTCATACTGTGCATCCATAAAATGTTTTATTCAGTTAGTGTATGTGCATTTAATTACTCAACTTATTTCACGAAGGTGCGTCAAAAAAGTTTTGTTTTACAAATACAAACAGCTTTTTATTACTCTCACCTTAAAAGTAGTAATTCACTAATTAATTTGAAACATGGGCATTCACTTCGGACATTAGAAGAGTATCTATTTTTATTACAATTTTCAGTATAATATTTATCCATTAAGCGTTAAGCTGGTGAATCCAGGTTACTATCACGATGGCAAATTTATGATGTCTCAGTTTCATAGAAACCAACGTTTAAATTTGTACTAAAAGACTTTTAACTTCACCTGATCGGGTCCCAGTGGCTGAGTTTGCCATGTAACCGGAAGGCCCTGGGTTCGAACTCCAGTGGGTGCGTACTGCCGATGATTCCCATACTAGGATGAAATAGCTGTCCAGTACTTCCTGATTTTCAATGGTTCTCTAACTGATATCAGTCCGTATTCAGACTCGTAAAAACAAATCTATTCCTTGCAAGCCAACTCTTGGCAATATTTAAATAGGTCAAGTAGTCCATGGTAGGCGAAGGTTGAAGTCTGTGGTTTTTCGTACACCTAGTTTAGGATGTATGTGATTAATCGAAAGTGCTTCCATCACCTTTGAATTAGAGTTATGTGATGAAATAATTGTGAAGCAGTTATTGATATTGATTTTGTGACCTGACATTATTAAGTGCTTTGCAGTGGATGATGATGGTTTTCTATTCAGATCAATTGCATTGGGAATTTCTCTGTGTCTTAATAACCATTTTGGAACATGTTCTTTTCGTCGACACTGGAACATTCTATTGATTCTACCTATATATGTGTCACCGTGACTGCAGGTGAACTTGCAGATACAGTTTGAAGTAGAGTCCACGGAATTTTTTGCTTAAGTCGTAGGTACAGGGATCGAAAATGTTCGAGATGTGAGGGAAAGAGACGCGGCGTAGAATGTGCGCTTGATGGCTGACCGAAGTCTTTGAGCTGTCAACTGCATAATTTGATTGCGCTTGATTGATAGGTTAATAAAGATAGCTTTCTTTGGTACAGAAGCTGACTTTTCAAGATGTGGTCTATCCTTACTGTGACAATTGATAAAGTTTTCCGGATAACCATTAGTTAATAAAACTAAATGTATGTGTCAAAGCTCATCCATCAATGTGTTACTCATACGTATTTTGCGGGCACTTTAAAACAAACATTTCACTAAGGAACGTTTATACTGGATAGGAACAAAACTTTAGAAATGAAGAAATTGTCCACTCCATGTCTGTTTACGAAATATAGATCGCTTAATCGTTCCATCATATCTCCTGGTTATTGTAATATCCAGGATATTGAGCTTGTTATTCGATTCGAGTTCGGAAGACACTCGGATATTTGGATGAATATGATTAAGTAGAGTAATAAGGTTTTCAATAGATTTACTATTATTACCAATAATGAGTGTATCATCTACATAACGTTTACATAGCATAAATTCTCCAAGCATACCTTGCATTTGTTTCTCCAATTTCGACATGAATATATCTGCTATCAGGGGCCCAAGAGGCCTGCCCATCGCAACACCATCGATTTGTTTGTATGCCTTTTCTTGGAAGGTGAATCTGATATTTTCTGTACATATTAAAATGATGTCTCTGTTGTAAGTGACAGGAATAGGTAAGTTTATCCCATTTCTTGTGATGTGATCGCAAATAAAATCAACAGTTTCATGAAGAGTAACATTGGTGAATTAGGATTCTATGCCTGTTGAGCAAATAACCTTTTGCTCAATGTTCAAGGTATTTAGCATATCGGTCAGATCAAATGAACGTTTTGCAGAATGATTTGACAATGAGTGTCTTATAGGCGTAAGGACCTCTGTAATCCATTTTGCGATTTCATGATATGGAGAATTCGACATATCTAAGATGGGTGTCAGTGGGTTCCCAGTTATGTGGATCTTTGGAAGGCCATGCAGTCGGGTAGTATGTGATCCAATAGCTTTAAGTTGTTTATAAAGTTTTTCGTTTATAAAACCATGCATCAGTAAAATCTGAAGTTGCCGACATATCTGCTTTTTCACAAGCAGCACATTATCAGCAGTATTTTCAACCAGAAATTTGGACTGATCTTTGAGGATTTCATTCATTTTATTTTGATAGTTAGATTTATTCATGATGACAACGCCATCTCTTATATCAGGTTTAAGGATAATAGGATTATCTTTTTCGATTAATTCCTTAAGTGAGGCGTGGTGTCCTTTGATAAACCATTTTTCTGGTGTATTCTGGCATTTAGAAATTGGTGAGGAATGCCCACCGGTTTAACTTTAAACCAGTCCAGGTTATCTTTACTAGGGGGAGTTAAATCAGAGATTTGAACATAGAGGTTTACATACTGTGATTAGACTTCCATTTCGTTTATTTTTATAGGGATAGTTTTGTATTTCAAATCGTACTATAATGCTTCCAACTGTAGTTGGAATAGAGAGCAAGTAGATAGTTTAATAATTATGTGCAAATCTTGAGGAAATTCCAAAATATGATTCGTGTCTTTCAAAGATTTTGTTAACTTTTGTTCCGTGGAACTTTTTTTTACCATATCATTGAATTTAATTCGACATTTTAAAGATAAATTATCCATAACGGGAATTCGTCTTTGGTGTGTTTCGATAAATTTCGAAAGTTTATCATTAATTTCATCAATTTCTAATTAAGCAGTATGCTGAAGGTTAGAGAGTGAAGATTTCAACTTACTCCAACGTAGTGATTTGTAGAACGATATAGGATAATGTTTATTTTGTGTGCAGTTGTAATAAAACCTTAATCGTTCACACTGAATGACAATTTTACATCTCAGATTTAGAAGACCGTTCAGAATTCTTATAGTGTTTTTAGGGAGCCTTCGTTTGAGGAAATTAAAACAATTAGTCCATTTGATAAATTTGAATAAGGCATTCTGAAGACAAATTTCGCAAGGTGAAATCATTTTGTAGTTTCTTTACAACCGTTTTACAACTTACATGGTTCACAATAATAAAATAAAAGGCATGACAATTACTTAGTTATATAAAAGAAAAGTATATATGTGTTTAGAAATTTAAGTGATTATCTGAAGAAAGCAGTGAAGAACAAACACTTTGGCAAATTAACCAGCACCATCCTTCGTGGCTTGAAAAAGTCAGACCAGACCAATGAGGAAGTCAATTTTGTCTCAGTTCATGGATAACAGTCACCAAGTGAATAGAAGAAGAGAATATTGATGATATTAAAAGATTCTGAGGAGGTTTCCATCATTAATGAGAATAAGCTGAAATTCGTTATAGTTGGGACAGCTGTTTCTTTTCAGTATGACTTTAATTGTCAGTGCTTGCCTCGGTGACAGTGAAGAGTGAAAAGTGAGTATCTCTTTGTGGACTGAGCTATTCTCCAATAGATCAAAAATTGGCTAAATGGAACATTTTCATTAATTGAAATAATAAGAAACTCAGAGTTATGTCTTTTATGATAAAATTATCTCTAAAATAAATTATAAATTTCATTTGATCCGGCGACTGTTTCACCGAACCTGATGGTTTTATTTGCTTAATTTTTTTCTTATTTTCGCCTTTCAGAATCATTGAGTGATTAATCACAGTCATTCAGGTGGAAAATTGATTCTCAATTAAATAACCCTGTTTATATTCACACACACACACACACAAACACCAACACAAGCTATTATGATACTTTACACTACATCAATCATTTTTATTCAATTATCATGTCTCTACTCACAAACATATGAATCCACTCAGTTGACAATAGGTGAGTTATCGTTTTCGTTTGTTTATTATCTTGTAAACAACTTTGTTTTCCTTTTTCGATAACTGACTACTATTCGTTTAGTCACAGTCACAGTATGGACATATCTACCATGTATATGGAATAGTCGTTTTTTTTGTAATTTTTTTGTAATGAGTAGCAATCAGTAAAATGAATACTTTTGAGGTCAACTAAGAGCTATATGAAAGAGATAGGGCTTATAATTATTGTAAGGAAATTGAAGGGCAGAGAAACATACAAATAATTAGAAATAACAATATTCTCAGTATACAATGAATTATTTGCATATTTTCCATTTTCTCTTCTGGTGCACGCAGTTTAAAATAGGTACGGAATGCGACATATATGTGTCGTGTTAAGACAAGGAGATAGTGTATAACTTTAGACATTTTATGGGACCTGAAATAAAAGGCAATAAGTCAGTCGTATTTCGTCTGCCTGAAAGATGTTCGGCAAAAACGGATTAGTCTGTTTAACAAGTTCGTGCAGCCTGCGCAATAGACGAGAAGGAAATTAAGAATTTTAAACTGCTTCTATTTTGAAATAAGGGTTTATGTAAGAATATAATGAATGTAAATATAATCTAATTATAAACAGGAATATTTAAAAATCACTTCTCCAGTTAAAATAGTTGGTGGTTTCCAGCGTTCTCTTCACTTTATCTCCACTCGTAGTATTCATATACAAATGCGTACAAGCAAAGTCGGTATGGATATCTATTCAGTCTTTAATTCTCTTATGAGCGATGAACACCTGACCACCTCCTAAGACTTTGACATTTTTCGCTGCATTATATGTTCCAGAAGTCATGTTAGGGATGTGATATGATCTCACTATTCCTGCAAATCCTGAGAGCTTTTTGAAATTATTTTCAGTGAGGAACAATGGTTTCTATTCGAAAGTTTACCTTGCGTCACAATACCAATAATGTGTTACGGTTTAAATATGCAAATAAGACCTTTTGTGCTTTTTTTATGCCACTGGTGAATACACTGGAGAACTATTGAAAAAAATACTTCTAACTGTAGGACATTATTCAAGAAAGATATCGTCCAGTCTCAGACAGATTTATGATTCAGTGGCAGTAATTCCTTCCAAACCGTAATTCATGACGTTATTGTTGTGTTATATGAAAGCTTGTTATAAATTTATTTATTTTGATTCATTTTAAATACACTGTCTTTTCACATTGTAATGAAATGTGTTCTTTACAAACTATTTCAAGCTTGAGCTGTCCAGATTTTAGGGGTGAATTGTTACAGAAGCCAAGTGATAGGGGTCGTAGTAGTGTAAGCGTACTCACCCTTTTTCATTTGCACATTTCACAAACAACTAGCCTTTAGTAATAGTTTCTCATTTCATACCCATATAGTTTATTTTAATGTCATTTGATTTCTGCTAGCCTTCTCTACATGTACTGTGAATAGTGTGTGATGATTCAAAATAGTGGATTTTTGTTAAAAGTTCATCAGTAATCTGTCCGACTGTTTACATTTAGTTCAGCAGTGCCTGTTACTTTCATACTTTGGTTTCAAATTAAACTGAAACACTTTTGAGCATTTGGTGAACAAGGGAAGTTTTTAAAACCTGGTAAGGTTTCAAGCTAAACGACACATATGAACTAGTGACCTTAGCGACTTATTTGAAAGGACATGATATTCATTCATTCACTTTATATTCAAATATTTACTGGTATTTCAGTGCTCTTAGATATGCAAGAATATGACTTCCAAAGCGACGTAAAACAAACAGCAGTCATGGTATAAAGGCAGATTGTATTCTGTTATTATACTTGTTAGACCTACCTGTCCATAAATACCTGTAGGATCTTAAAAAAACTTGTTTTTTAGATAGTAAGTCGATTTATTTTTTGTCTGGTATTGCTAGATTTAAGTGACAGAACAATGTAACTTAGTCTTAAACCATATGTTTGCGTACACAAATTACCTTTAGGCTTAGTTTATTTTATGAATAATTATTCAGCAGATATTTTTTTTAACAATAATAAACGTATTATTTATTTCGTCGATATCATGCTTCTTCTTCTTCTTTAATGAAAATCCTTAGATGACACTGTAAGTATATGTTTGTATGTATGATTCATATCGTAAAATAGGACCATATTCCAATTCCTGTGATCATCCTACAATAAGATTCGTCTGTGAAATTGACACTCAGTCAAGTAATTTGGTCGGTGATTATTTGTTATTTCGAATAGTCCTGATTATCAGGACTTATTTATACAGAAATATAGAATGAATAAGGCATACATACTGACTTGTAGCAGGATTCATATCCAGTCTTTTCGAATCACCAATTGAATTTTCTGTCTGCTGAACAAAATACCTAGCCAACACCCGGTTATACATACATAGGTTTTGAAAGTTATACTTATTTTGTTAGCAGAATCCTATTTATTTTTCCTTCATATCGATTCTTCCTAGGCGCTTTGATTGAAAAAGATGACGTCGCTCAAGAGATTTGCTTTAAGAAGAGCATACAAGCAGCTAACAAACTTCTACAGCAACACGATTCATCAAACAATAGATTCCAGCTTATACCAATTATAGAGACAATTGATGGAGATGACAGCTTTGAGGCAACTCGGAAAGGTACGTAAAACATTTTTCTTCTCTTATGTGTGAATTATGACAGTGAGCCTAATTTTAAGCGCTGACGATTTGTAGGCTAGAGCAGGATCTGCCTTTTGCCCAAAGATATAACAAGGATGTACCATGTTAAAGTAATGATTTTCAGTGGATGTAATAATGTCAGTTGTAATATTCTTCTGTGTAGGTGACCTGAACCTTCTTCATATTTAATATCACTATATAGTTTAAATTATAATTTAAAACAGATTACTATCAAGATAATACGAATAAGAGTATGAGAACTTAGATTGAAGAACTGTTTACAGTGTCATAAAAGCGTGCGTTTTCAGGTGGTTGACATGCAATATAAATATTTTAAAGTTAATATAATGAACACTGTACAGAATGACTGAAGGTTATTCCCCCTAATGGGCTTCAATATATACATGTTTAATTTTGAATTTCAGGTCAAGCAATAATATAAAATTTTCTAAAAGAACACGTTAAATTTTGGATATTTGAGGTTATTTCGTTTTAGCTTTGGAACGCTCTTGCATCGGAGAGTGAAAGCATCTTTGAATTTCAACAGCCATTTAAGAACAAATTCAGTTATATTGAAATTAGATTCTAAACTCTAGAGAAAAAGCATACATTTTTGTTTTTCTTCTGCCAGATTGGCGAGGTATTCAGTACCTAACTATAATATCCCTCTATATTCTCAAGGTATATCTACATCTTTGGATGCGGTACACACCTTCTAGTTTGATGTTATTTACTATTTGTTGCTGTCTTCAGTTAATAAAGTAATAAGGAGTGTATAAATATATGAATATATGTATTCCTTTACGTTTCCAGTGGAACATAGGGCTTCAAGCTAGAGGCTTGAAGTTTCTGTAGCAGTGCTGATTATTTTTTACAGGATGACGTTGCTAGCCTCATCCCCAACCTTCCCTCTTTGCCAATCTAACTACTAGCTTAGCAAAGTAAAGGAGTGCGCCGGCAGGGGATCGAACCCCGAACCACCTGAGTGGTCGGTGAGCACTCTACCGCTGTGCCACCGACGCAATATATACATATATATATCAGGTTAATCACTGCTATTGAAAACTTCGCCAGAACAAGGATCCTTTCGGGGTAATAAGACAGTAAAATTTACTCTACTGAATGCTATGCAGTTAGTTTAGACTTTAGGATTAAATTGCTGAAGCACAGAAAACTAGTGAAATCTGGACTAGTGGACCCTAATAGGATAAGCTTAAGCAAAGCATCACACACAGTTGAACAGAATCATACAATGGGAGGATGGGACGAAGTGATTATCTTAAGACGTGATGTAGCAGAGTAAAGGGTCAGACTGGTTTTGAAAGCTTAGTCTATCGTATCGACAGAGAATGTATGCAAAAGAAGTTATTCAGCATCTGTCCCACAAATCTGGAAAATTCAGCTTCTGCTAAAATAAAGGAAGCGAAGTTTCAACTACGTCTTCAAATCGCAAAGTCACATTTTATGTGTTGCTGAGCAACAAACTGCATTAGAAACGTCATTCACTAACAGTTACTGGAGTATTTTGTTTAAATGTGACTAGCAGAGGGACGGGAAATGCGCTTTTCTTTCAATTTGGGACCATATAAATTAAGTAGGTTAATTTCCAGTTTCTTTTACTGTATACAATTCAGAAAACGGAAACGGTCATAAAGGCCTTCTCATGACCCGAGGTATCATAAATTAACAAGAGATCTTGGCGGAAAGCTCCAGAATATTGATTAAAAATGACAGAATGAGACATTTTCAAAATTACACTACATTTAAAGATGAAGGGCACAACCTGTGCAATATTAGCATGAATAATCATTTGAGAAGACTGCGGGATGGATGTAGCTTTTACTCCTGAAGGTTGTAGGCCCGTTTACTGTTACACTTGCAGCTGTATATCTCTAATGTAAGTTAGTGAACTCAAGTAATGCCTGATGACTACCTCAAAATATTTTACAAGGAAATGTTTCTGTGACTTTTATAGTAATTACGGTCTAGGAGTAGACAGTATCTATAAAATAACCAACCCGAATAAAAAACTAAATAGGATTTTGAAGTTATACATAAAATTCTATATACTGTGGGCAGTCAACAATAAATATGAGTAAAACTGTTGGAGTGAATTCCCGGCCTATAAGAATTCCTCAAATGTAACTTACATTTTGCAGGGGAGCATGAAGGATTGATAAGATTCCAACTGTATATAGGTACAGTCACTTCAAAGTATACATCCTATTAGCCTATGAATTAATATTTGTTTGATATAGTTTTCACTTCAGCTATAAGATTTTTTCAAAACTTTCACCAGTATAATTTTTAGGATATCTATATATAGCTCTTATTGAGCGGCAGCTAATCTTCTGTAGTGTATTTAGGTATAAAAGCTTTAAGATTTATTTGTTATTGGGTAGACTGAGTTTGCTGAGAAACAGGTGTGGTAAGGTTATCATACAGCTCACAGAATTAATCAGATAGAGAAACACTAATGTGATACAGGTGTTCCGTGTAAATAACTCTGTCTTTCAAAAGCTAAATACATCCATAAAATCTGATATGTAAGAAAACAGGATGGCAATCAGAGAGCATAAACCATATTTGTGAGAACAAATATAAGCATGGGGTAGGCAGATGTATAATCGCAAGCAAGGAATAACTAAAACTCAGAGTTATTTCAGTCATGCATCTAAATTTTCCTAGAAAAGAAGATAAACTTTTTTTTAACTATCACAGTGACGCAACCAAAGTTAAATTTCGTTGTCCTCTGCTTAAATTATTCGTAGATATACCAATTGCTATTATCATTTTTCACTTGGGTTCCAAGCGGGACATAGGGCTCCAGTAATACGTCTACACTTTTTCTCATCCTCTGCAATCCACTTCAGCTGCCCCCCAAACGGTAACCCATAATCTCTGACCTCCTTTTCCCCTAATGATCTTCTCCATGTCACCCGTCGGAGGAACAAGTCGTGGTTTCCTATTCGGGTTCCACTCTCGGGCCTAGCACGCGATGTCATTTGACAGTATATTGAGCACATACCCAATCCATCTCCACTTTCCTAAACATATTTCTCCAATGATAAGTTCTTGTTTGGTTGATTCTCAGAGTTTCTTGTTGCTGATTCTTTCTGGCCATTCAGCCTTTAATATGGAGCGAAGGCAGCTTTTGATAATGTCTGCAGCCCGTTAGAGAAGCTTTTCCTGACGTGCAAAATTTCTGACCCATGTAGAAGGAATGACTTGACATTGGTATTGAAAATCCGAATCTTCTTTATGCTGAGTTAGTGCAGAAGATCTGCAAACTGGTTTTAGGTTGATGAAGGCGTACCTTGCCGTTCCCATCCCGCCTTTGACATCTTCATCCATTCTGCCAGTAGTTAAAACGATGATGCTTGGATAAATGAGGGAAGTAGCCTCTTTCAAACTTCTGTTGATAGTGATTGGTGCTGTGATTGGCTTGGTTATCTTTATCACTTCCGTCTTCTCTATGTTCACCTGGAGTCCTGTCTTCGCTGCCTGCCACTTCCGCCAGTTTGTTGGTTTTCGCCTGTAAGTCTTCGAGTTTGTGAGACATGAATTATCTGAGAAGTCCAAATCTTGAAGTGTCTTCTTATCGGTTCAGCGTGTTGTTGTCTACTCACTCCCTGTGCATAGATTGATGCATAATCCAGACCAGCACAATTAGGAATATCATCGGTGAAAGAAGGCAGCATCTTCTCATCCCTGTATATTATTATTATTGTTTCCTCTAATTCCTAGAGGAACATAGGGCTTCAGCCGTGCATCTCCATTGCGTTCGGTTCTCTGCTAGAGTCTTCACCTCCGTCCAAGTCCGCCCACACGCTTTCATCTCCTCTTCACATGACCTCCTCCAGGTCACCCTTGGACGACCAACTCGCCGCTTCCCTTTCGGGTTCCACTCGAGCAATGGCTTGTCTAGTGATGTCACTTGATGGTTTTCTCAGATTATGTCCAACCCATCTCCATTTCTTCCTGCATATTTGTTTCACAATCGGTTCCTAGTATCGGTTCCTTGTATCGGTTTCCTGTATTCAGTGCAAATGCTTCGGTGAGTCTTCCGTTGCTGATCACCTGACACGTCGCATTGTCATGTAGCCAGCTGTCGAATGAGGTTGATAAAGGTTTAGGGCTCGCTTAAGTGTTGTACTTTTTGATTAGTTTGGGTACTACGCGCCTTAGTGTTGAAATAATTTCCAAATTACTTCTCGGTCAACGCTGTCGAAGGCCTTTACGAAGTTGATGAAGTTGAGGTAGAGGTTTGACTGACATTCTATGCTTTGTTCTATGATGACGATGCATTGAGTTGCAATTTAATCACCACATGACTTACTTTTCGTGAATGAAGTTTGTTCCGGTCCAGTTTCTGCATCCAATCCAATTTTAATTCCCTCCAGGATGAAACGACTTATTATTTTGCTTGGTATGGAAAACAGGACGATTCGGCGCCACTTCATCCAGAGGCCTAAGTCGCCATTCCGTGCTAGTTTCACAAGGCAGCCTTTCTTCAAGTCAGTAGATACTTTTCTTTCTTTCCAAATATCTTGCAGTATTGAAGTGAGCATATTTGATGAGGTCTCTGGGTCTGTTTTCTTTGCTTCGGGGGGAATTCAGTCTAGTACTACTGCCTTACTGAACTTCGGTAGTTTGATTGTATTCAAGACCTTGGTTTGTGTTTGGTGATTGGTATCCACTAACAGTTCTGTGAGGGCTGCTGATGGTATTTCTAGACGAGTATCAGCTGATGGTCAGTTCAGGAGTCCTCTCTCCTTGGACAGAGACCTAGTTATCTGATATAATGTTCTGATGTCTCTTTTACCTGCAGCCTGCTCGTTCTGCTTCAGTTGCCCGTGTGCTGTTTAATTGTCTTTCGTCTTTCCTAGCACTCTTCTTCACTTCTTTATTCAGTGACATATACGTTAAACTCAGCTTCTGCTGTTCATCTTTCCATTAGTAAATCTGTTTCCCCATCCCCCTCTCTTCTGTTAGCTTCCAGGGGTCCGTAGACAGCCAGTTCTTGTATTGTCTCTTTTTTCTTCCCACAACAGCTGTACATGCTTCCTGGAACATCACCTTCAGAGAGTTCTTATGTTCTTCCCCACAGGTTCCCTCGTTGACGACATGTAGTATTTCCGATTTCCCTCTGATATCTGCAGTGAAGGTATCCTTTGTAGTTTTGTCCTTCAGTTTCTGAGAGTTGAACTTGAATTTTGGTCTGTCTGTAGTTGTTCTGAAGGATTTTAGCTTTACCTTGAAGGTTCCTTGAACTGTATGATGGTCTGAGCCTACGTCTGCTCCCCTTCTAAACTGTGTGTCTGGCAGACTACGTTTCTGTTTCTTGTATTGGTCACTTGCAATTATGAGAACGTAGCTCCTGACGCTACTCCGCTGCATTGTGGATGAGACTTCATGCCAAATGTTTGGGAGGGTGGTCCCTTAAAAATGCGAATGCAACATGCCTAGACAGTTACAGTCATAATTTTTATTGCGATAGATTTCTTCCTGACATTATTGAATATCATTTGAGAAAAGAGAACTCTCAAAAGTGGCATTCTTCAAAGAGAACTGCGGCTGTGAGAAATACTGGTTTCAGTTATGGTTCTTACTTGTTCGAATACGCGAGAAATAATATTCTGTTAATTTAATACAATAGGCACAGACTGACAACTTTTATTAGTTCCATCTGAGTGTTTATCTTTGTTACTGCGATTAAAATAATATTTATTGATTTCCTGAAAGACATTATATGGTCGATATCTGTTAACCTAAATAAAAGCCCACAAATAATGAATAATAACAACAAAGACTGAATTACTTTAAGAATTTTTGAAAACACGAAAGACAAGCAAATAAACAAATAAAAACAGGAGACCATTGAATATTCATTTGCAGAGTGAGTTAATAATTAATTTGGTTATCAGTGATCAGTATTTAGAAGACACATACAGGCTAAAGGTATTCATTTCAGCTTTCATACAAGTCACCAAGGATGAATGTTGTACGTCATTTTTCTACAGTTATTAGAGCTGATGGAATGACGCTCAAGTTAAATTTTATATTCATAGATTAAAAATTTAACACTTTCGTAAAACGCGAACCGTGAATGTTTTAGTATAACAGTAGTTTAAATCGATATCCCAGCAAATGACAAGGCAATGGGGAGCAGAGCAATAACTAAATAAAGGCAGAGAATTACTATAAAAACAGGCATACTATTTCATTACTCAGAATTGTAATTATTGCTCTTAAAGTTAGGCGTATATGTATTTTTTTATCTCAAACAATATTCCTTCCTCATTAGCTAATCATTTCTCTCATTATAAGAGGGTGAGATTTAAGCCTTTGGAGAAGGATACGACTACTTTTATGCATAAAGTTTCTCATTTGTCTTGCAGTCGTGATCATCACAGAGCAGAGCTAAAGTTTCTGAGTGAAATTTGCATATTCGCCTTATGTATATATATATGCGTACATAAGTGTGTTTATGTGTACACGGTGGACTATTTAATTTTTTTGTTATTCTTTCACATTTCCTACTGCTTATTTCTTTTCTTGTTTCTGCCTTTCCCATTAACTATTATGACTAGCAATTTTACAAACTTCAGGATTTTATACTTTTTTTATTGATCCTGATGATTTGAAACGAATTATAAGTTTTGAATGGAGAAGTTTTCTTCATTTCTATTTAAATCTTGTCGGCCTGTTTAAGGTAAATTGTTTATGACCAGAATAGGTGTGCCGACTTGTAAAGTTATCACTAACTGTGTAACGATTCTGTATAGCTATTTTTTTATCACTTTTGTCAAAACATACATCTGGGGATTGTTTAAAGACGGTTGGAATTCATTTACAGTTAAACAGTACTTCTTATAGCTGTTGGTGTTGGTGAACTTTGTAACCAGTTTCTGCACAACATGTAGTTCGATTTGAAAACTATAACGGCAATACTAAAGGACAAACAACCGAATTATAAAGAGACGAGTGTTTACAAAGACAAAAGCAGACTTTACTGAGGAGTACTGTGATAGACATGAAATATGGGTCTAGAGCTTTCAATCAGTGGATATGTAACTTTTACAATAAAGTTGTAGTGTGCATTGTTGTCGTGGCATTTAGACTTAAAACTTTACAGGTTGAACTTTATACGCTATAAATACTTAACATCTTATTGTACATTACTCCTTGAACAAATCTTATAATGGTTGGCAGCATAAAGCCCACTACTAAGCCTTTTATACAAGAAAAATTATGAGCAAACTGGAATTCAGACACACTTATTCTTATGTATTCCGATGTTCTGGCAGCGTGATTTATGCTGTCAGTCTTTGTATTTTATTTCACTGAAAACGGGTTAGCATCAATTCCTAATGTAATAAAAGTGGTGAGTTCGCGCAGATAGACCATCATGTTGATGTAAACAGTTGACAATAATATTGTTGTACTGTACTTTTTACTGAGGTTTTGTGTTAACTGCATTTATCGAACTCTATGAATATTAACAGAAAGTCTGAGTAATCTGTCTTCAGTGTTACCACCAATTTGAACCATAAATCTCAAAGATAGAAATGCAGCTGAAATCATTACTTTAAGGTGAGGCCTATTTACTCAGGATATTCTAAAGTTAGTGAATATTCTTGAAAATTCTGTGCTAAGCCTTTTGTAGCCAATTCTTTAAGCCAGAGAAAAGACCTATTTGAATATGTTTTCCAGTTATACTGTATTTGGTAACGATCGTTAACTTTGTTTGTTATCACAAATTTATAGCTTGTCAACTCCTTGAACGACAAGTTATTGCTATCTACGGTCCATCAACACCGCATGCATCATCAGCAGTGCAAGCTTTATGCAACCAGTTCGGAATACCACATTTACAAATTGATTGGGGTTATCATCAAACTTCGCGTGGATACGCGTTAAATGTACATCCACATTATTTAGCCTTTGGACAGGCTTTATATGATTATGTTCAGAAAGCTAAATATTGGGACTCAGTTGCAGTTATTTATTCCAGAGAAGAAAGTAAGTGTTTTCGCCTGTTTGTACTATCGTGAATGCACTGAATAATATTTATCGCATATTCTGATAGGTACTCTTCAGATAAATTGTTTATTGTTTTTATTTAAGTAAGTTTTCTTCAAAGCCACAAACCCAACATCATATATGCGTCGGTGGCACGGCGGTTAGGACTCTTGCCGACCATGCACATGGTCCGGGGTTCAACCTCCGCTGACGCACACCTGATATCTATGGTCGGCCTGCTACATTTGGGCTACCGATATCACATGCTGAAAAGTTCCTACTTGTACCAAAATACTGTGTGGAATCAAGCTATAATAAAATAAAAAATAATCTTATACATATACGTATGGTGAGAGGGAGAATGAAAAGCACCAAAGGATGATGGGGATTAAAGTAAAAATAACAAATGAAACAAATAAATGGCACAAATAGCTATAGACAATAATGTAATTCCCCTTCTGAAAGGTAAATATGTTTGTATTGGTTGGTGAATTGATTTAATGTAGAATAATTGTACAGCTCTGTATTAAGTGGGATACTATTTCATTGAAACCTACATAAATATACGAGAACGTACCCTATGGTCAAAACCGTTATTCATTTCACGCCAATAGGACAAGGAAAACTATTCTGCCTGAAGAACCACGAATATGTATTTTAATAACTGTTTACTTCATTCGTGTAATCGGCTTAATTTAGTGACTATGCTTTCTTAGAATGGGTGATTAGGACTTACTAGAAGTTTTAGAATTGGCTAAGTAAGTGTAATACATTTAGTTTTGCTGATTCAAGTGTTAAAAGTATGTCAGGGTTGTTAACACTGCCCTGTTTGGGAACCGGGTGTCTGACAGTATGTATAAATTCAATGTGGGTCAGTGAGCTAGAAGTTAATGTTTACAACTGTAAAGGGAAGAATTCTTCAAATTTTCTACAAATTTAATATTTGTAACTTCCAGAAAACAAGCAGATATTGTTTAGTACGTTAGTAGAAATGTGTCTTTCGGAAAGGTTCATTCGCTTCGGAATTAAGGAAGGTGACAGAAATGGTTAGTTGTCCGTTGACTTCTCGTTACACTTAATTCCAGAAGAAGTTTAAAAAAATGTAATGAGTGATGTCTATTTGTCAGTCGTTTACCGTTACTTTCTGAAATGAAAAGACTTCAGCAGTTTTCACATTTTAGACATCTGAACCATGCCTCTTGATTATCTGCATAATTCAGACCATCCTTCTATGCTAGACTTAAGTTGGGTTTACAATATATTAGTTGCATTTTCTTTATTTGATAATCGATTAAAGAAGTTATTTGGTAAAATGAATAGATAAGCGGGAAATTTAAACCAATAGTAGAGCTGTTCAACTATTAGATCTCTCAGTAAGTCAGTTCAAGTATTCAGTATAGTGAATCGGTGGTTAGAGCGATATTTCGCAGGACTATCTAATCCAAAAAATGAATCCATCTGCACAGGGGGGACCACTCTTTGGTGAAATAACACCTTTTGGAGCACATCCTATCATTACTAACTCAAATCATCTCTCAATAAAAGTATGCATTTTTTCTGAGTATTTTTCTTTTCTAATGAAAATGTAAATGTTGGTGCCTTTACTAAATTTCCATTATAAATAGGTTTACTGAAATTCGATTACCTGTTGAGAACATTTGATCAACCTATAATACTACGTAAATGGGACGTTTCAAGTGATAATCAGAAATACGTAATAAAACAATTTAAAATTAGTCAGCCATATTATCGTTTTATCGTGGATATACCATTCTGGGAGATACAGGATTTTCTAGCTCTTGTAAGTTATATTCGAATTGGATAATCTTGATTCACTAATAGCCGACATGATTTATTCAAAAATTATTCAATTTTATTGAATCACAGCGTCCAATGCTGTGAAGTTCTTAAGTCCACTGTTTTGTTATGTATAAAGATGACTAGATTGTTTGATTTATTTATTCTCCAGAATGCCCATGAAGCATTTGGGAATGAAGTACGATTGTCAGCTACTACCCTCTTTGACTGATGGTTCTGAATTGAAGAATCTAATAGTGGGCGAAGTTGAAATATGCTAGACACCCTAATCGAGCTTACCACTGACCTTGGGCAGCTATCAGAATTAAGGGACAATAAAAGTCATAATACAATTGAAAAGATGACCATAAATTAACCTGCTTCAAGATCATTTTGTATTTCGTTCCTCTACCTCAAAATCTCAGTTCTGAAAAAAGACCAATGATTCTGTAAAGCTTCTCACGCTTATGCATGTTTTAGTAACTAGAACTAATCCATCATTTGCACGATAAGTTAACACTTGATTTTTCTTGAACTCTGTAAACAAATTCAGAACGGAAGGCATAATTTGTTTTGGTTATACAACCTGTAATTGCAAATGGTTATCAAAATCCATGTACGGGGGTGGCTGATATAGGCTAACTTTATCTAATGATGAACCATAATATACATATATATATATATATATGAATTCGATCTATTGGATAACATGTAATAAGGTCTAGAAAGCAACCGATTATATAACTTTTGGTTTACATCAGTCGCACGAACGTGAACTAAATTACCATTAATTGTTAAAAGTATCTTGTACGAAAATATAACTGTTCAAGCAGGACACCTGGGTTACCTTAATCTGCGACTTGATTTTGTTGGCTGCAAGCAGGAGCTACTGCTTTTGCCTATTATTATGTTTCGGCTGATCCATGTTGCTTCTGAAGCATTTATTTAGCAGTGTAAGTAGTTCTGAACTATTTAAACTGATCGACAAAGTTCTGCAAAAGAATCACGTTGATATTTCTAGAAAGATTTTTCATTGAAACATTATTTCAAAGTCAAGAGCTACCTGTCGTTCATTATACTTTAAAAAGTTTTGCAAAAGAAGAGCACTTTCCAGTCAATATTACAATATTTGTAGTAATGACAGTGAACTAGGAAGTTCCTTAGTGAAGAGTGCATTTTAAACTGGTGCTCATACTTCCATCTGATGTCGTAGTTTACTAATGGTCTATGCACAAAGCTAAAGGTGAGTCTTAAAGGATAGTTGTATATCAAAGAAAAGTTGGATGACTAGGTTTGATAGGCCTGCAAAGAGAAAAGAAATCCTAGTAATAATATGCTTAATTACATTACTTTGAAAGCAAATATTAAGACCTATATTTCTGAATCAGAAATATTTTGATAACTTTGTTTTTTTTTAAATATTTCAAGGCAAACATGTACAATTTGACTTCGCAATATTACAGTTATGTGTTCACGGACTGGGTAAGATAATTGTTGATCGCATATTTTCTGGTAATGAGTTTATCCAATGACTGTTGTGTATACTATCACTATTATCAGTAATACCTTGCTATCATTAGAAGTTCATATGAAAGGTCAACAGAAACTGGACAGAACCGTAGGTGTTTCCATCCTAGTTTCAAATTACTCTTCGGTGTGAAACGTCTGTCATATTGTTGGTCGACTTAGAAAGGTTAAAGCATTCATTTTGTAATTTTATTCAAAATGTCTGAAAAGATAGATTTTATTCAAAAAGTTATCAGTACACTTTTGTACTGTCACTAGTTAAACTGTTGTATTGCTTATAATTAGCATATCTACTCACAGGATACAGCACAATAATAAGACTTTTGGAATTGTGTTAATATCCACTTTGTTGAAAGGTAAAAATACTGAAGAAAGGATAATAGTGATGGCAGAACTCAGGATTTAATCCAAAACAAGTACGTTACTAAAGTTCAAAACTGCAAAACAGTTTTTTACAGATGATTGTTTAGCCATTCACCATTGAGCGAATACCGCAGTAATTTAAAGATTAACCAGTAATTGAAGAATTTACAAATGTTATCCCAAAAGACAAGTAAATAATGTGGTCTAAACAAGTGGAGCGTGGTCATTTCACTCAGTCATTTCCCAAGTCTTTTGCCAGTGACTCATTCTGCCGGAGGCTAAATCAGTCTTATAGGTTGGTCACTTTTACAATAAACTTTAAGACAACCTGTATTCCTGATATGGAGTTAGAGTTTTGGCTTCCACCTTGCATTTTTTCCGCATGCCTTAGGCTAGTGGTCGACAATTCATACTGGCTATTACATATGATTTTATTCAGAAACAATGCCTATTTACAAGAGGAGGGAACAATACTTCTGCAACATAGCCTCGGAAAATATATCTACACTAAGCCGTTCTTATAGACAGAAGGAACTGATTTTACTAACCGCCATTCTGGAGCATTCGCATGTGTGTGCTAAATTAATCTGAAATGTACATAAATATTTAATGTAAGAGAAAAGTTTTTTAATGAAAAATGTTGGTATTTGAGGGTATTTAAAACTACTTATTAATCCCTTCAGTCATAAATATAAATACCTTATTGTTTGAACGTGTTTCATAGGATGTCCAATTGGTTGATCCAAAAGCATTCGAATCAGTTCAAGGAGCTAATATTACAACTTTCTCTGTTTTACATCCTATGAATGAAGAATCTGGCTATGGAGTAGCTGCACTGCTAGATGATATTCGTGTAACCGCCTTACAAGATAAACGTTTCACACGTAGCTCCACGTCAAGACGTATCAGCCCCGTAAGTCTCGATCAATAGGTTGAATTATGCAATACGAAATCTAGCTTCTTTTCCTCCAGTCTTAATGGGTTTGTGCTCAAGCGCCTTTCGTAACAATTCAAGTTGCCATGATAGTGTGCGTCACTGTTATTCTGCAACTGATTTGTATTGTGAGAATAATATATTTTAGATCACCAGTCTAACTGTGGTTACTCCATATTAGTTTGTTTATTAGACGTGCGTCGGTGACACAGTGGTTAGGACTCTCGCCGACCATGCACATGGTCCGTGGTTCAATCTCCTACCGACGCACACCCGATATCTATCTTCGGCCTGCTAAATTTGAGCTACCGATATGACTTGCTGAAAATTTCCAACTTGTACTGAAAATACGGTGTGGCATCAAGCTGTAATCAAAAATAAAAAAAATAAAATATCACACAGTGAAACAGTATTATTTACTGGATCCAGTGAATAATACTGTTTCACTGTGTGATATACCTAATAAACAAACTAATATGGAATTACTTACTACCACAGTGTCCAAGTTTTACACATATGTTAACTGTAGTTAGTTATCTAAAAAAGTCAGTTATGGAAAACAAGAACAAGAAAAATGAGCATTTTAAAGTAATTTATTCGCGAAAATTACTTACACTGCATATTTTTGAACAAAAATTACTTCATTCTACGGTGAATTAATATCCTTGTATGTGCATAACTGCAGTATACATTTTCTAATATATTTCTTTTTATGCAGTCACTTGGTAGGCATTTAGGGTCTTCAGCCATTTAGCTTACTGGATATAGATTGAGCAATAAATCTTGCTGTTAAGAAGGCAGGGTTCTTTCAACCACATTGTCTGATCCCATCAAACGATGAACAACACTTATAAGAAAAGTAGTAATATGGTAGATGAGGAAACAAACAAAACGAAGTGACGTTTAAGGCCTATCATCAGTCGACACTTTTAAAGCAAATTAACATGTATTAGCATTTCCTTTTGAAGTATTAAGAAGGGAAATTTGACTAACATCGCATTCTTTTGGTCTGTTAAAAATGATGACCAACTTTTAGTTTCTAACAGTAAACATTTTATTACATTATCGTACAGTTAGTTTCTTACTTTGACAACCCTGTAACCGGTTGGCAATCTTTAAGATTAGTTTTATCGTATGCGTCGGTGGCACGGCGGTTAGGACTCTTGCCGACCATGCACATGGTCCGGGGTTCAACCTCCGCCGACGCACACCTGGTATCTATGGTCGGCTTGCTAAATTTGAGCTACCGATATCACATGCTGGAAAGTTCCTACTTGTACCAAAATACTGTGTGGAATGAAGCTATGATCAAAATTTTTAAAAAATAAATCTAAGTAATGCTACGTTTTCTACTTGTACTGTGATAGAACCAGAAATATATGTAGGTATCGAGTGTGATTTGTCTGTTGATAGTACAAGACGTGTTAATAATCCTTAGGATTATTAGTCAGTTAGGACTGGGACAGATTTATTCTAATATAATCGAACAACCTAAAAACATTTCTTACACTGTCAGCCGATTTGTCGTGAACAGTGAGGAAGTATGCATTTTGTTCATATGTGTTTCATAGCTTAGTTCATTTTAAAATTGGCTTAAGCGAACGTCTCAATTCCCAGAGGTGTTATGCGGTGGCCCCTACTACAGAGAACTTTTGAGTGGTCTCAGCAATGCAATCGGTGAACAATATAACGTTACATTACAGTGTATAGTATTGCATACATTTTAGGGAAGTAAGTGACTGATTTCATCTGCCAGACAAAATTGTTTACCTTCACTAGTTGATCACTGTAGACAAATTAAGGATCTAAGCTTCCATGCTAATCAACAGTCTGCTTCAAGTCAAACGAAGTGCTTTGTGAAGACAAATAGCCTTTACTGTCAGTTTATCCACAAAAGTTCAATATCATTCAATCAAATACAGTCTAAGTTGTCACTTTATTGGGAAAAAGTATCATAAAATTTAAGCGCTATGTTAAGGTGACTAGAAATCAGGTATTAACTGAAGTGACACTTTTATTGTCAATGTCGAAAGCCTTAGACTTCTGACGAATGGTTGCAGACAAACTGGTGTTTGATTAAATTTATCAGCAAGATTAGTAAACACAATGAAACCGATGCTCTCATGCAGCAATGAGTTCGTGTAAATCAACAAGGAGTTCACACATGTTATACTAATTCTTTTGTCCCGTGACTGTGGCTTTCAGTGATGTAAGTTTTAGTTTTCAAAGAGGAATCGACTAGGTCAATATTCCTGGTCCATCAGGCTAATAAATACCAGTAAAAACGCAAACAGTCTCGTGAATCTGAAATAGTAAAATGTATGCAAAACATACTTCAGATTTTTATTTGAAAAAACAGACAGCTATTACGGCGGGGAGTTTATTCTTCGACTATATAGTCCTTGTACTGACCATCATATTTGTTTTGTTCAGCATCAGCCTGACATGTATTATCTAATTGCTCCCAGTTCCCCATTTAAATTAATAAATCCATTTACATCGTTACGGATGAATCTATAGCAGACGAATGTTTCAGAAGTGTCAAAAAATTCACAAAGAAGAAATTTCATCAACAGTCAAACACACGAAAAAGTGTATGTGTTTTTCTTCAGAAAATATTCATCAGTTAGCCAACAGTTATACACTAAAGAGTGTATACGAATTTTAGGTTCTCCTAAAACTTTTTAAAGCATTTACTTTTGTTGCCAAACCCATATGCCTGCAAAGGAAGACTTTGATAATGACTACTGTAAGGGTAAATGTGGAAAAAAGACAATGTGTAAAATCAGATTTCAAAGTTCCCTGTAAGTCACTCACTGCAAGCCGACAGATAATAATCGTCAGATCATGAATTTTCAGGAAATTACAAGAAACCATTTCCTGCTGACAGTGATTCAATATTAATGCATAACGGCATATACCGTCACTACCAATATCTGACGTAGTGTCATTAATTCATGGCAGAATTTATCATAACTCGCATGTATACATAATAATAATGACAACTTTATTTCGAACAATGTTTATATAATGTACGGAATTTTCAGTGGAGTTTGTTGTATGAAAACGTCCCTTCGTCCAGGATCTTCAAAAAAAGATTAAATTGATACTAGATGGTGTGACATAGTTCTATCTGAAATGAAGAGAAAACCAATGCATAATCAGATCTCTTCTTTTTCTCATTATAGAGATACACGACATTTTGTTGAATGCCAAATGTGAAAATTTCAGGAGTACATTTTGTGAACCAACGACACCACTTAGGAACGGTCATCCCATGTGTTGGGATAAACTGCCGTCGAAGATCATGCTTTTCCATATGCTTAGTAAAAACCTGTGAATCAGAAAGTTGTCAACATTGTAAATACTCGGCAGAACATACATACTATTAAAGATCGTATTTTATTAGATCTAAACAAACTGAATAAGAGGAATTAAATATAATATAATTATGGGGTTTTTTCGGTAGCACAAGTTCTAAGCAGGCCGTCCAAACAAAATCCTTTTAAAGAAATGGGCATACATACGTAAAAGTGTGTCTCAGTGATTATTAAAATTCTCAAAATGAAATATAACTGATGTCACAGGAACGATTGATCATAGAAGTAATTTATAGCTACATTTTATGTACATACGATTATGCATATTACTAATATTTTTATTTGTTTGAAAATCGCTTGATCATTTAGCAAAAGGAACATGTAATTCAAATAACATGCATTTTTTGGCCGTTTAATTTACTACAGCGGTGTATTTATAGTTATGTGTACTTTCTTTCATGAGTGCGTCTAACAATTTTACATTTAAAACATAATGTAACTAGTAACATCGTAATAAAACAGTGTATACTTGTATAGTGAGACATTTCGATGCACCTTTACATGATTTTTCAGACTCATTCTGCTCTTCTTTACGATGGTCTAAGTTTATTGGCGATGGGTGTCTTGTCATCATCACGTTCAACAAATATTCTACCCCCAGCTGGTCTATCCTGTTCAGTGAATCGTGTGTGGAATCCAGGCTTGACACTGATGAATGACATAAAAGCTGTGAGTTGTTTTTGCATACATGGTTATCCATTACACTGTTATTAAACATGATACAAAAATTACTATATGAACTTGCTGCTATAGGCTGTGATGATTATATGCAATTTCACTGATCCACCGGAGTATTCTTTCTGGAGAATGAAGTTATTTTTGTTGAGGTGCCAATTCGTTCTATCGAATAACTTTAATTTAAGATACAAATATATCACGTTTAACAGATAATTATTCCTTATAAAATAGTAAATGAGTTTTTAAGCGGCATTTATTATTAAATCAACTACTTCTTATTACTTTCCATTTACTGAAATGAAGCACAATGATGAAACATTTTTGGTTTTGCAACTGTAAATAGTAGATAAATTGTGAAAAGTTGTTCGTTTTAATTCCTTTGCTGGTTGAGGTTTCCAGATTTGATGTCGACTGCATCATCACTCAACTTTGGTATTCTTTACGGATTCATATCGGTTAATGCAATACTAGAAACCATTCAGTGATTTTGTCCTAGATTTAAAACTCTTAAGCAGGGTGAAACCATAACTCCATAAAACTCAATGGTCCATGGCTTCATATTTCGAATAATTTACAATATGTCATAGATGAGTATCGGTTTTGTAGTTTTACCATACCTATTGAAAATTATCACGTATGAGAATAAGTCAGTAATTAATAAACGTTATCAGGTATGGATTACTTGAGTACATTCAGGTGACATGACAGTGACGCTTTTGTCTCGAGAATTATTGCAATTGAGTATAAGCCTTTCTAAGCACGGATGTAAACTTGACGGTTGCTAGCTAGGACGAAATGTCAATCTCCTTGTTCTTTGACTTCAGTAATTCTCTATCTAGTATCAGCTCGAGGGAGAAACTACTGATAAATCAAATGGCTTCTAAAACGTCCGTCCACCTTATCATTGGAACCTCGTTTTACATATTCTACCATTCAAATCGTAAAAAGCAACTAGAGGATAGCTCCAACAAGAGTAACGGAAAATAAATTAGCCGTTGGATAATTACTTCAAGCATCTAATCGTCGCAGAGCAACATATATGCCAGATTTTTAAAATTCATAAAGACCTGTAGAGTGAATGGAGTTTACAGTTACGTTGTAAATACTCAAAACAAAGTTCTCAGCTTCAGATTTTTCTATCGAGGAAGATATATATATATATATATATAATTTTTTTCATTCACAAAAATGGGAAGTGTGTCATCACCCAGGGGAGTGATTTTTAGATCACGTTTACTAAAATAATAGAGACTTATTTTAATAAGGAAGAATGTGATTATAGATGTTAATGAGGCGATACATCTTTTCCCAAAGGAATATCAGTACAAACTGGCTTCGTCTCAAAAATAAGTGAACTCATATTTATATCAGTCTAATTAAATGAATTCTTGAATAAATGCAAATGTTTAATTATCATTAATGGGGATAATAAAAAATAGATATCTCGCATACATATTGATCTTAGAGATGCAGTTATGCTGGAAATTCGTACAATATATATATATATATATATATATATATAATTCATAATTATAATTTACTTAAGAAACCCTTATTTTGCTTTTTTGTGTGGAAGAAAAAAGCAATATATGCTTGGTTAGTACTCAGTGGTCTTCTGGACAATTATTTCTCTTTAAATTATGTTTACCATTGACATCTGAATTATATACAGAGAATTGGTGATGATCAGGTATACTGGCTTTTTAATTCAGCCTGGAAAGTCGCGGTGGTGATACTGTAATTTTAGAAATTTGGCTAAACTCTACAAATTCACGTATGCACTGAAACATATACAAGCTGAGATTGTTTTTTAAAAATCCTGTAATCACACTTTTCCCTTTACAAATGAAGGTTCGTCCAACGAGTTTCCGAGGTTTGACGGGACCGTTTCAGTTTGATGGACACGGCTGGCGTTCAAATGCACATCTGATTATCTTGGAACTGAGTCGAAATGGATTCCAGGAGGTATGTAAATCCGCTATTGTTCTTTCAGAAATCTTTTAACTGAGGGATTTCAAGGCACTGTGAACTTCATTTGAGGAAAAGTAAGACTAACGTGGGGTTTCTGAAGGATTTTGTCTACTGTCTGTTTGCGTATACTGAAAAATGCTATGCGCGTCTAACCGCATTTATAAAACTGAGATCTGTTGGGAAATGCGGGAAAATTAGTCATTTTAAGAGATATCTACGAAGTTAAGTGTAAGCTTGGAGGCCACTCAGTATTCATTAAGGAAGCAAGACTGAGGATAGAGTTTACAATGAAAGCAAAGCCTCTGTTTAAGAACGCAAAATCTGAGGAGACACCAAAACTGCCGGAATCCCTATCATTGGAAATGCAAGCGTTCATCCTTCTACCAGTGACGCAATCATTTGCAATGTGCCATTATAAAACTAAACTTTAAGAGTCTAATTTGTAGAGGTAGAATGTTTCAGGAAACGGAAATAGTAGGTCTTTACAAAAATGAAACGTCTTATTGATATAGGTGTATAGTAAGAAGTTCCATGTTCTACATACAGATGGATCCTATAAAGACGGTTGCAGTGAAGAAAAGTTTCTTTTCGACGAAATCATGAATCCTTAAAATATGCATCATTTTTTGAATGTCTCAACTATTTTACTCTAAAACCTATAAAAGTTGGTAAAGTGGTCCTGTATACTTATCAAATAAAGCTGCTGAGTGCTATATACGTGGCACTTTTAATTCTGTAGTCAAGTGTGCAATTTAAGCTGCTACGCTTCTGCGTTGAGTTCAGTGCTGAAGTTCATAGAGCTTGTAGTGTCTTAGAAAGGAAACTTTGGGAGTGTTACGGGAAAGAAATCTTTGGCAGTAGTGTGTCACCATTTATGTTGTGCATTTTGTTGAACATTTTAATTGTACATGGGTAACAAATAATTCTGGAAAATCCCACCGTTTTGTCTGAAAAGTAAACAGTGATATAGTTAAAAGTGCTTTAAATGTATCTCAGCCATGAAATCATCTGTTCATCACGATGACACAATGCTTCTGTTAAAAAGCATTAAATAGAAGGGAAATATTAATGTATAAATGAGGTAACATTTCGTCAGAATGAGTGCATTTTCATTGCTTCAGAAAGAATACGAGCTAAGTTTTTTAATACCTGTGTAAACTAACCTTGGTATTGTTTCTATGTGAATGTAATAACAACAAGGTGGGACGAATCATCCTTATTTATAGTTTTAATCACATCATTCTAAATAAAAATATTATTTGACTGATAATGGCTGAAAATTGAATCCAGAATTCTTATTTTTGTACTATTAGGAATTCATCAGTCTAGGCGAACTAATAATTCTCATGCTTCCCACGGTAAAGTATTTAGGGAATTTAAAGAATGTTTACATTAGCTTTAACAAAGGTTACAAGCTTATTGGGAAATGCTGACTTGTTTCTCGGTAACTTCAGTTTTATAAACATGTTACACAGTGAAACAGTATTATTATTTACTGGATGACTTTTCGAACAAAATTTATTGTTCATAATCATATTAGTTATAGTCACATGACTTCGAAACTTGAGTTTTGTAGTTTTCTTTGTCCTCTCCTATTTGTCGTAGGGGTAGTGGAATTTTCCAGATATCTGGCACAGGTGTTGAATCATTCCTGTTACACGTATTTGCAGTTGATTCGACAAACAAAGCTTCTGTTGTCAATCTCTCCCTATACCCTGTGACATTTACACATATATTAATGGTGACACTTCTGACTTAAGAGATTGCTTATAATTCCCATCTGCACAAACTTTGTAGCCTCTAACCCATTGATTGAAACCTGAATTTTTGAATAAACTGTCCCAGCTACATGATGCTTATTAAAGCTGTGAAAAGTGTTACCTTAAAGGGAATAAGTTAAGTAGATTTTTAATTTTCAGATGTGACCAAAAATTCTGATTGAATTCACTATTCCCAGATGTTATATGCTGAATTTATTCTTTCTTTAGTCATTATCGTGGCATATTTCTTGTTGGTTGTAACCAGGCATTTTTCTTATCCTATGAAATGAAGTAGGTCTATATATATATATATATATATCAACTGCAAAGAAATACAAGATCATTAGTTGATTTACCTATGTTTGTATAAATATAACTGTTCGGTGGTTAAATAGTTGGCTGTTCAAGAATTTGTTGGTCAAATCCACGTTTTTGAAGTAGTCTCTGTCTTAATCGTTAGTTAGTGTAGCTGTTTGCTTAAAAGGTAATGGAGAATTACAGGAATTAGGTCAGCTGGTATGACACTGCAAAGCACCACGTTTAAAATGATATAAAGTTTGTATACACTACGGTCAACCAAGTAGGTGACTTAATAAGTCATTATGGAACGAATTATATAATAGTATTAGTCAGTCTTAATTCATGGATGAGTACCTGATTGAAAAGTAAATATTTCATTGCTGAATTTGCTATTCATTTGGGGAAATTCAACCGTTTCTTGTATTCCTGTTGTATTCAATAGTACGGATATTGGAATATGGATGAAGGAATGGTTGTGACGAAAAATTTCAGCCTCACAAAGCAAGAATATCAGTCTGAATTGAAAGGAAAGGTGCTTCGTATAACTACACAAGAAGTAAGTCTAACTGTATACCTAGTATTCTACAAAGATTTCAGTACTCATCTATCTTGTCTAACCAACATCATCTTCTACCAAGTGATCATCTATCAACTTTTTGGTGCTCTGTTGACTAGATCTGCTGAATTTCTATGAGTGGTATCATCCCTTAACTTAAAGCAAAGCGTAAATCCCAACAATATGCAGAAATGCATTGATTAACCATGTAGTACTTATAAAAAAGTCAAACTTCAAGCTGTAACTCAGATATTCAAGTGTTGGTTTGTAGGGATTTGATTGGTTTCAGGATTTTCATCATGAGCTGACATTAGTTAGAGAACTGTTGGAAAACCTGGGAGTACTGGACAGCTGTTTCGCCCTAGTTTGGGACTCTTCATCAGTACGCACCCACCCGGATTCGATAGTTGTAGTGAGTGTCATTAGAGGTGAAATTCACACGAAATTATCAGTAACAGAGTGGGACTTTCGCATCAGATCAATGGATATGTAAACATAGTATCATTAGGAAAAGAAGTTGTATATTTCCATGGATGAAAATGTAATTCACTCCAAATATTTTAATGACGCACTAACTTTTCAGATGTCTTCTAATTAAGTCTTCATAGGTTTATTCTATATCACTATTTTCAACCTTCTACCTAATCCTCCATCTTTCGGGATATATTTAGAATATTCAAAGTACTATGACGGAAATTATTTTTGTTCAAATTCCTTGAAGAAAAGCAGCACAACTTTCATACATATCGCTTTACTTTTTCTGAGGAACTGTAATTGAAATTGGTTTGTGGTATGATCGTATTCGACCCTCAATCTGGAAGTAAAAAGCTTTTTATTAGTATCATGAGTGAAAGGAAACAGAATGCTCTCCAAGGCTTTTATTTGTGTTCGATAACGGAAAGAATTAATGCTTTTAGTATACTACTTACTGAAAAGCGATTTCTATATTCTGTTTACAGAAGTAAGGGAATAAATTTATTGCATAATACACATTCTTTAAGAAAACAGTATAGTGTGTCGTAACTTAATAGCTGGCTTTTAACTTGTTTAACTCATAAGCTAACAGTTCTGAGTGTGAACCGCTAAACAGGGGTCGCTTAGCACAGAAACAGTCGTCCGCAACTTCTTCGGTTCTCATGGTTCATTTCCACCATAATGAACTTTATATCGAAGTAGTGAATCACATTAAATATACAGTGGTACATCAAAAGCCAAATGGATTGTGATACCAGCAGGTTGTTGCAAAGTGTTACTCTTTTTCAGGCTATGTATATACACGTATGTACATCTGTATAAGATGTTCATAGAAATATTAAAAAAACGATGTAAAGTCCTCATCTGGCTCTGTCGTCTTAGAAACCATTACTAGAAACCCTCTAGCTTCTTGTTCTACTTACTTAATTGATCAAAGATTTTACAAACTAGTCTCAAGTATTAGTAGCTCCACTCTGAATTGTCCATTTTGTGCAGTTATTGCGCATTGACGTAAAGATTGATTCAGATTGATATGGATATATCTACACATTTTGAACGAGTGTAGATGAATACAGTAGTTGACAAATGTTCCACCTCTTTCACAGTAATTAAAATGTGCATGAGGGATTTTGTAAAGTCAAGGGTGGTAAGAGTAGTATACCTATTGAAATTACTTGTACACTGTGATGGTAAAATGGAAAATGACTTACGAATGTTTTCACCTCTAAGGCATTTCATTTTGTTCTCCTTTCGACTGTTATTTATAAACTTTCATTCTTTTTTTCTGTCATGGTAGGAAAAACCTTACATGATGTATAAGGGGAAAACGCTGCCTGGTCAGCCAAAGTCTACCGATCCTAAGGACTGGGAAGGATTTTGTATCAGTTTATTAAATCAAATCAGCGAAGACTTGCAGTTTACATACACAGTCAACTTAGTCCCAGATTCAACATATGGTAATATGAGGATTGTAGATGGGGTGGAGATGTGGGACGGCATGGTACAAGAACTACGAACCCGGGTAAGAAATGTCCGCATATTGGTGTAATTTCATATGGTATTTTCTTGTTCTTCAAGTCAGGAGTGTGGATAGCAGGGAAGTAAGACTCTCTGCAAGATATCTTTTTAGTTCACTGATCCATATTCTTGGAATAAATCAGTTTTGGATGCTCCATAAATCTTAAACATTGTTGAATATATATATATATATTAAATGTTTGCATAATTTCATTTCTGTTCTCTGCTTGTTAGTCATTACTATTATGCAAACAGAAATCTAATTACTTTAGACGTCTCTTAGTCAGTCATCATAACAGTGAATTTTATGAAGATCTTTACCAAATTTATATTCTTCTAATGAGTCTTTGCAACGTCTGCGCCATGCACTTATTATTTCTGGACATCAACACCGTGGCGATAGTTTCAGTAATTTCATTACTTTATGACGAGATTGTATTACTGGTACATATCGAAAAGTTTAAAGGACGGAAATTTAAAGTATGAATATTGTTGGTTTCTATTACTAAATTCAGTATTTCTTCAGAAAAATTAGAATTAGGAGTACAAAGTGGAATTAATAATGGTGAAGCACCTCTCCTAAGTAATTTAGTGATAAGCCATTGTCAAATTATCACTCGTAAACACAGATTTCGAAATAACCGTTTTTCCAATCAGTTACGGGTTAACTTTTTTTATTCTTGATATTGTTTTGTATTTATCCCCAGGATACGCAATCCATTTTAATCTATCATATATCACATTTGCAAATAACAGGCTGATCCTAAAGGTTGCTGACTTTGGATAAGAATTATAGATTCATTTTGCGATTCAAGCAATCTTAGGAACTAATTTCACAAGTACATAAAATAGTGAACTTAACAATCAAACAATGACTTAATGACTTGCTTTCATTATGGGTGTATAATGCAAAATGTTCATCAAAGTGCTTTTAAAGTTTTTAATATATGAATTAACAGTTTACAGTCTTGTGCATCAAAACTATAAAAGAACTGTTTCAGATAATACTCAAATTTAGGGACCATGAGTGTAATGTCGAAATCGGACGGAAGGATACAGATTTATAACTTCTGAGTATTGTAAAATATGACACACACCTGATTGATTACTCTGGCAACCGTCATCATAATTTCAACCTTTTTTGTAGTATATTCTTTAGTTGAGAGACTGGAAGAATGGGAGCCTAAAATTATTAGTTTTTTGTCTCTCTCCCTGTGAACTATTTTAAAATATGACCCATCAACTGATGAAATACATACAACTAAGAATAAAAATAGTTACACTATTTTACTTTGAAACTTCCTGAAGGTTCGCAATCAGTCACTATCAATGAAAGCTGTGCTAACAAAATCGAAGGTTATAAAAACAATAGGTTACAAGGTGCATGCTATAACTGTTGGGAAAATAGCTTTATAGACTTTTCACAAAAAGGACATTTGTTCAAGGAACACTGAGTAGCTAATCTACGACTGATTATTAAATTTCATGTTGACCATTCCTGTAACCTATTCGGTTGTTACTTAGTTAGGGCAGTAACTTATAAAAGTTTTTGTTCAGTGAAGAAATATTTCTTTTCAACGACTTCATTTTGAAGCTATGCAGTCGTATTTATATTACGGAAAACGACATTATGTGGCACCAGAAATTGCTCAGTCAATATATATCTGATAAGAATAAAGATAAAGACGGTGAAGGTGAAGTGGAATGAATTCAAGTAGTGAAATAGAATAAAATAAAAGAACATTACTATGACCAAGGTAAAGAAAGGGGTCTGACAAAGCGTTTTTGAATACATAATTTAGGTTTTTGTCCATGGTATAGCTAGAGCTTCGGCTATGAACAAGTGGAGAAAATGTAAGCTTTTAGAGTGACTGGAGTTGGTCCTGAAGATAACTCTAAAGGATAAATCACAAGGGCTGAATGGTCTGACTCCAGAGGGTATTCACAGAGAGAAGGCTTTATCAGATTAATGAAAGGTGAGCAAAGGACACAGTAACAAAGGTCATAGTAATGTTCTTTTACTTTATTCTATTTTACCACTTCAATTCATTCCATTTCACTTCACCTTCACAGTTTTTACGGTTATCGTCATGGCATTGTTAATTTTTTAGACAACACCTGACCTACTGTTTTAAAATCGCAACACCGATTCACTCATTTAATAATCTTTAGAAGTATTGTAATTCATCCACTTCAGCTCTACCCTCTTAGTACATCATTTTAATTATCTTTATTCTTATCAGACTGCGCAATTTCTGGTGCCACATAATGTCGTTTTCCGTAATATAAGTACGACTGTACAGCTTGGAAATGAAGTCGTTGAAAAGAAATATTTCTTCGCTGAGCAAAACTGTGTTTTTCCTTATGAATTAATGGGTATATTTTACGACTTATACAAGTGCCTACATCCTAGTTTGACTTGTCATATATGATGCTATATGCACCTACATTTATTTATTTTCTTATGGTTTCATCTATTTGTGCGTCGGTGGTATAGCGGTTAGGACGCTCGCCAACCATGCACACGGTCCGGGGTTTGATCCTCGGCCGACGCAATCCTTTACCTTGCTAAGCCAGAGATAATGCTGGTGAAGAGAAAAGGTTCGGCATGAGGCTAGCAACCCCATCCTGTAAAATAAACACTGCTACCGAAACTTCAAGCCACCAGCTTGAAGCCCTATGTTCCACTGGGGAACGTGAAGGAAAAAAAATTCATCTATTTAATTCTTCGCATCAGTAAAATATGATGTCACTTGTTTTCAGAACAATCAGAACATCGGATATTCGTGGAATATTTCGCACTGGTTTTGATCTGAAATATTACTGTTAGTAACATTATCTCTTTTCACTCGTCTTGTTTAGGCGTACAATCATTTTATTCTAATTTAATTTATTTCAGCGTGCTGATTTGGCTGTTGGCTCTTTCACAATCACTTACGATCGTGAACGCGTGATTGATTTCACAACTCCATTCATGTATTTGGGGATAAGTATTATTTATAAGCGTCCTGAAGATAAAGAGTCACATCTCTTTTCTTTTTTGACGCCTCTTTCGCCACCGGTATGTATTATAATTCACCAGTATTTCTGTCTTTTCGAATATTTTTTAGCTGTGCTAATGCATCATTTTTCAAAGAATTATCTATTTATAATTGAGTAAACTGTTTTAACAAACTTTATGTTACAATATGCACGCTACATATCGCAGCAATTTATTAGTTAATATTGAAAACTATACTTATATAGAGTTAAACTTTTAATTACGGATTTCAATTTATTGATTGAATAGTATGGCAGCTCGTCAACATTTAACGATGTCAATATTCCTCATCTTATCAGCTGAAAAGTGTCAAAATGCCATGAATCTTGGAGTGGAAAACATTAGAAGGGCATTTATGCGTGACGTAAGAGAAAATATGAACCAGTGAATCTCTATCTCGAGAAAACATTTTATTGATGGTAAAATATCAAGTCTAAAATAGTAACTGTATGAGGATTCTGTTATCCTGTTTATCGAACATTTCCAAGTTAATTTTGACCCCTGGCGTAGTTATGGGTTCGCACCACTGAAACCTTAGTAATAAGTTGTCTTCAGTGCTCTTTAAATGATTTTGGTTTTGTAAGCAAGTCTGCTTTTAAATCAGTTACTTGTCTATCTGAATTTAGTCATAAACACTTATGTAGTCTTAAAATATCAAATGTTGAATTCACTACACAAGAAACTTTCTTATCTTCCTGACTCTCTGCTTACTAACTGATTGATTTATTTTCTGAACAAAAACAGAAAATATGAAAATAGTCTTTACGCAGTGTTATCTAGTAAACATAAATTCAGTTTGAACTCACTTTTCAGACGTTTGTGAAAAGTACAGTTGCATGAAACAGATTAAAGACAATATTTTATGTATCTTATGCAATAAGAATGTCACCAAGAACGAAGGCTGCAGCAACATATTAACTACCAGCAGTTATTACCTACAGCCAGAATTCTTTCATAAACCTCATCTTTCCCAGTATCACTATTCATGTACACAGAATTCAAAATTTCCGTAGGCATATTCCGTGCAGCCACCAATAGCAGCTGCAAATATTTGCCACCAAAGGTATAGATATGTCGAAAGGTAAGATTTCGTTAGACAAATATTATAACTGATACTTTCAGTTTTTAAAGTGAGTTTCTGCAATCCATGCTTAAGTGTAGTGTTATTTCTTTTACTAATATTTCTCTTAATAATTTTAACTAGGTTTGGGGATATATTTTGGCAGCGCTTATTATGGTTAGCTTAGTACTATTTGTTGTGGCAAGATTCAGTCCATATGAATGGAAAGTGAAGCATCCTTGTAATGTGGATTCAGAAGTTGTAGAAAATAATTTCAATGTGTCGAACAGTCTATGGTTTACATTCGGCGCATTGATGCAAAAAGGTCAGTGGTAGTTTATCACTAAAAAATGATTTAAAAAATGTAATAATGTTTTGAAGAAAAGATAATTAGTTGACAATTTTCTTAATAAAAATACTTATACCGACTTCTAGTTATGCATAGTTAAGTTAGATTTGAGCAAAACAGAACCTATTACGTTGTTTATTAAATATATTGCAAAGTGAAACAGTATCATTCAATGCATGATGTTTCGAACACAACTTATCTGGTTATAATCATTTCATCAATTATAATCACACGACTTCGAAACTTGAGTTTCATAGTTTTCTTTATGCTTTCCTATTTGACGTAGAGGTGGTAGAATTTACCAGATGTCTGGGACAGGTGTTGAATCATTCCTGTCACACGTGTTTGCAGTTGATTCGATTAATACGGCTTCCGTTATCAATCTCTCCATCTACCCTGTTACATTAGATTTTAAAACTGTCATCTTCTCCATCCTGCTGTATGGCTGTGTGTAGTTGCATGTAGTACTACCTACTGTTGAACTATGCTCCAGATTTATTATCTTATTCGAGTCAACTAATCTAGATTTTGCTAGGATTTTATGCTCTGCTAGTTTGACTGGCCCTGTACTACTAGTTTGACCTACTAGCTCTACAGGATCCTTTAACCGACAAAGCTTGTTTCTATTTGAATTTGTGCGTTTGAATGTCATTTTTATTCCTGCATTGTTAAGAATTCTTCTTAAGGCCTCCGAGCTTCCTTCTTTGTATGGAAGTACTGCTGATGATTTGAACTCCCTGTTGTTGGCTTTGTCATTATCCTGTGCATGTTTGACATGCATGTCGTCATTAATATTATTATCACTAATATTATTATTAATTTTATTTTCAAATTTTCTTAAATACTTCCTAACTTATTTATCAGAGTAATTATTAAGTTTCAAAGCTTCTCCGATAAGCTTCACTTCCTGTCTCAGATTTTCCTTAGTACTACTTAGTTTTTGTGCTCTGTCGCTTAAACATTTCACCAATCCTATTTTTACTGACAGGATGAGATGATCGAAAATCCAAATACCTGTTTAAATGTTTGGGTTTCCTGTAAACACTAGTGTTTAACTTCCCATCTTCTTTCCTTTTTACGCTACAATCTAACATTGGAAGCTCCCCTTCCCGACTTTCCAATTCATAAGTGAATTGAATTGCCTCCACCTTGGAGTTGATGTGTTCAATAAATTTACTTATGTTCTGTGTTCTAAGGATGATGAAAACATTCTACTACTCCTACGTCAAATAGGAAAGCATAAAGAAAACTGTATAACTCAGGTTTTGAAGTCGTGTGATTATAATTGATGAAATGATTATAACCAAATAAGTTGTGTTCGAAACGTCATCCATTGAATGATACTGTTTCACTGTGTATTATATCTATTAAACAAAATAATATGGAATTGCATACTAACATATTGCCGAAGTTTTACACATATATTAAAACAGCACCTAATTGACGCGTCCATTTTCTTAAGGCAGACACATATGAGTTAGATGATTCACTCTCATTATGCGTTTGTCTACTACAGTCGTCTGAATGAACTACGGTGTCAGTTAAAATCCTTTTCATTTATCCCACTCAAAATGAAATTGTGAATTACAAATGTACAATAATAGTTTATACATGTCCAAACCAAGTCCACCTTTAACAAATGGAAAAATTTGGGCATTGGGTATATGATATTCATTATTTAGACAAAGCAGTAAGAAGACGTGATTTGTCCGAAGTGTGTGATGAATTCGCGCAACACATTTCGAACAATCTGATCACAAACGGACTTGTCATAGGAATACATATGAAATTAATAAAGAGGTAAGAGGTGAGCAAATAGACCCAGGTCAAGTTAAAAGGACATATTGAAGGGCAAAATAACAATGAAGATCACTAAACCAAATAACAGAGGTAATAGTACACCTGCCCTGACTGGTATCAAAACAAAGTTTACGAAGGAAGGTGGTTTGAGTGTGATGACGAATTGTTGCTTTGAACGCATAAAGGTGGTTTAAACTTCCTCATTGCCAGCTAGAGCCTCCACAAACTTTAGGATACGCCCCCCCTCAAACACGTTTCATAGATAGGTTTACATGATGTGTAATCGTCAATTTTATGTGCTGCCTCTATAGTGTGTTTCGCAATAGAGGAGCTAGGTCTCCTGTTCTCACCATTAAGGAGTTCTGGTGATTCTATTTGCTTCTGAAGCCAGTTAGAAATATGCTCTGAATCCCTTACTTGCAAAGATCGATGAGTCCTCCCTATGCATGTGTGTCCACACGTACATTCAAAATGGTAAATACGGTGGGTTGTGACATCACTTTTCGCATGTTCGAAGGGCTTAGATGGATATATTGGCTTAACTTTCCCAATTATTATGATATTAGTCGCATAAAAAGTCTTTTTAACGGCAGTGTTTAGTCTTTGTCTAGTTATCAAGCTGCTATGATCGCCCATATAGGGTAGCTTGATGTACACATCTTCCTAAGGGGCGGGTTGGAAAGGGGATCTTGGTGTTCTGACTACTTTATATTTCCTGATGAACTTGATAACTGTTATCAACCAGAGTTCGCGTTAACTTTCTTCTTCATCAACTGTGTCTTCAATGCATATTCTTTGGATTCTACTGAAGAGGCACCTTACTAAGTCTCTTTTGTACCAAACAAGGCAGAAACTGATTTAATTAAGATTTGTCCCGTCCAGGAAGGTTTTCCATAAATTACAATAAAGGTTTTTTTGATTTCCTCATGAAATGACAAAATCAGCACGAGTGTGATAAACAATTTCATTATGTAAACACACGCTGTTTTTGAAATTCTACACACTTATCAAATCCAACAATCTACACCTGGCTTTGTTATCTTTACCAATTGGCCAATTCGACAACGAAAAATGCGACGTACTGAGGAACGATGATTATGTTGTTGTATATAAGCTGAGATTTAGTAAATTCTGGTTTGGTAATACTTTGATAAAGCTATTAGCAGCATTCAATAGCGAAACGTCAGTAAAACCAATATCATCTTGTTTTTCATTCCTTGGAAAATACAAAAAAAACCTTTATTATATTATACAATAATAATCTTTATAACTCACAGGTGGATTAGCACACCTAAACGATAGACGGAATGACTAGGTCACTGTATGATAGGCTTCAATATCTTCTTTCGACTAATTCTATGACTTCCATTTGTCTTGTTGTTTTCTGATCCAATTTCAATCATGTAAGCATACTTATTATATGGTTTTAAAACAACAGTCTGATTCATACTTCAGTTGTATAAGCGGCTCATTCTAAGGAGTTAAAGTCGTACTTAAAGGTCAAATGCAAAAAAATGGTAAAAGTAACTTAAAAAGCATAAGAGTTATAATTCATACCATATTAATAAGCTTACCTGTGAAAAATACACATTGTGCATAATGATAAATCTTACCATCTTAACGCGGTAGATTCGAGGATTAGTAGAAAGATTTTAACGGATATTCGGTTGGATTAATGTGTGAATGGAGAGTACAAAGAGCAGTTCGCCTTCTTCCTAACTCATATCACAACCAGACAAGTCGTAAGCGCATAAAGGACCATAATTGGTAAGTTCATTTACCAGCTTATAGGAGGTTTTTTTATTCAAATTCATGATTCTTTAAAAACTTATGGCTGTTTGAAATTATAGATTACTGTAAAATTTCATAACCCTTCAATTCCATTTGTGACTTGATTACGGTTGGTTAACATAAAATATGCTTGAATATCTCGCTTACAAATGTGATTTGCATATTATAATTATTCTACGAACTTTTAGTGTTATTCACTAATTTACCTTATATAGGCTTTCCATAATCATTAAAACTGTATGTGGTTTGTTTCTGTTTATAGTGAGGAGTCCGAAATCTTGTTTTCATTTAACTAATAACTGAAATTAGTCTTTGAAATCAACTCTCAGTTCTTGTACTATTTCTTTATTTCAATAAATCACCATGGATCACAAAGTGAAAGTTATGTCAGAAGTATGTTTTGTAACATAATCTCGTACCATTTTATGTCGCAGTACTTCAAATACGTCGTATAGCTTAGTTTTAAGATTTTGAAGTTAGTCAGTAGATGTCAGTTACCACTTTGATACTGGTTAACTTAACACTAAGCGATTATTGTACATCATTATTTTTCATTGAAAAACTGAAAGTGATTGTCTCACTGTTTCTCTTGATATCCTTTTATGTATGACTGCAGGCTCAGATATTTTACCACATGCTACATCAACTCGTATTATTGCTGGATTTTGGTGGTTTTTTACGCTCATTGTCATCTCATCATATACAGCTAATTTAGCTGCTTTTCTGACGGTTGCACGGATGGTTGCGCCAATTGAAAATGCTGAAGATTTGGCAAAACAAACAAAAATTAAATATGGTTCTATACAAGGTGGTTCGACTACGGCATTTTTTGAGGTCAGTTTTATTCAAATGTCTAAATTAAGTGTGAAAACAAGTCAGTATGTTTATAAGTGAATTAGAAGTCACTCTGAAATTTCCTTGAGAATGTTTCACAAAATTAATAATGATAAAATGAAAAAGCCAGTCTTAGTATTGAGAAAAATACATTGAAAATCAAGTATTTGTTTTGATCTATTGATCATTTGTGGGCATATTTATTTCAGCTTCTAAAGTTAATTGTTAATGTACTCATCACTATATGCCATGAGATTTATTTTGTTTTATCTAAAAGACTATCTGTAATTCGTCTTAATACTTTCTGTCATCTAAATGATATCGTTTAATTATGAAAACTGCTATAGGATCATGCACCGATGAGGGTGATTATTTGCTTATTACTTTTTTTAATATAGTTCTTTCCTGTTCCATAAAATGTTTAAATGAGGTGGATTCAAATTTGAGACCTGTTACAAGAGAGTCAAGCACATAAGCTTATGAACTGTTTGTCTACAGGGAAATCACTGCATCCGGAATCAGCTGGCAAGAAGACCTTGTGAATTCATCAGAATGTTCTATTTGTTCAATGGCCTTAATTTCAAACATCTTACAAGACAGTGTACAGTTTGTTTTCAGTAGGAAGAACTACAAAAGTGACTGTGAGTCAAGGAAAACCGTAGACGAAAAGTTAGTGACCATAAGACTGAAGAATCTCACAACTTTGTCTTGCATGACTATCTTATAGGCAATATAATTCATGGCCTCAGTGTGACACAGTACTCATGCAATAAATTGAATATAACTTGTAGATAATATTTGCTTGAAATTACTTAAAGAACTGATTTAAATGTCTTATTTGAAGGCATAATCTTCAAGTTTATGACATTGTCCGGAGAAAGTGCACTTCAAAAGTGTGAAGATAAATAGTTTTCACTGGTAGCAGTTATATCTTCATGAGTTTGAGAATTGGAATATCTCATTAAAAATATTTTACTAATACTACGTGTCTTGTATAGTTTTATGAAAGTGTCGTCTAATTACTCATAAACCAGTTTCATTTTTATAAGTCGCTTCAACTGCTTATTGTTTACAATAAATTATGGGATAGCAAATAACCCACTCCTTACCTTGTATATATGTCAGCATCTGTGACTAACGTCAATCCAAGTAATTTCTTGCTTGAACTGATCAGTTTATATGATGGTATTGTAGTGTAGTGTACATTGAACCTTCAGACTTTTGTTTGAACGAACTCACAATGACCTTTAACCCCACTTCCACTTTGGATTCGTGAATCTCCTGTACGGTTTCGGTCTCGCTCTCTCGCTGTGCTTTCACCTAGCACACTCTCCGAGATTACCACCGTCTCACCTGCAGATAAGTGTATACCTCTTATTTCTTATCAAATTCCATATCTCTTTTGTGTAAATACAATTCTGTTCCAGTCACACTTGCCATCTCGGGTCTTTTAACCTTGATTCCGTTCGTTAGTACTTGCACGTTAGGCAGAGTACGATTAAGGCCATAAGCGGTGAAGAAGTTTTGTAAGAGTGGTTATTGTTAGGTCGAAGTTAACCCAAGTTTAACTCTTACAGTATCATCACATCAAAATTTTTAGAATTTTAACTAAGTTAACAAGTTACCTACTTTAGATTCATTCGTGAAAATTTGAACTCATGGATCACTGGTTGCTGGTTAACCGTTTCATAGGTTCAGCTAAGTAATTCATTTTAATTTTACGGGAATAATTTAACATGTTTCTATTAGTTTTCTGTTTACCAAACTTTCTCCTCTTATTTTGTAGAATTTGTCCTTTGTTTTAATCTATAGGAATCGAATTTTTCCACGTATAAACGTATGTGGCAGTTTATGAGTTCACAGAAAGGATTATTAATGAACAATACACTGGAGGCAATACAGCGCGTTAAAAGGGAGGAGTATGCCTTTCTACTTGAATCAACAATGAATGAATATTATACTCAACGTGACTGTGAATTAATGCAAGTCGGTGGATTGTTAGACTCAAAAGGTTATGGCATTGGATTACCAGAAGGTGAGAAGTTAGTTTCAATAGTAAAATTTACCGAACAATGACTAATTGCAATAAACAATTAACTTAAGACTATATTATCTTGCTTTTTCCAATCACTAAGTAGCACAAACATTAAAATAATGAATTCCTTCATTAAAAGTGATCAGTGACTTATCAGTCGGAAGATTTTGGCAAGCTTTCTTGAGTAGTTGACATCGGGTTACAAATGAAAACAAAATCCTACCTGCATTGTATCATTTCGCTTGTTCGGTATTAAAAAGTAACTGTTTGTCATTAGGTGACTACTGCAAAGCCTAGTGAGAATATTGATTAAGCGTACAAAATAAAGCATTTTCCATTTTTAGGGGATGAAAATCCTTAACTTAGATATGTCATTTTCAACATAGTTGGCTAGTCCATTTGAATACTGAACAATTACTTCTCATGTTTTCTGAGCTGCATTCAGAATGAATCGGATACATTTTTTATGGCAGTTTAACAACTCTGAGAAAGATGAGTTATGTTAAGAAAGGAAATAAAGTTCAGATATTCCAGTGAAAGTGACAGAATGCTTTTAATTAAAGCTCCTTCAAATTATCTTGATACTTTTACAGCCCATGTGATATTTGCACAGTTCATTGTCTTGTTCTTTCTCCCCATACATTCGTAAATTCCTTTTTTGATCTGCATATTCCTTTTATTAATATCGTTGTGGCAAACGACTGTAGCGCATTAGATATCTCTTTCTCTAACTCTACACACTTTCACTTCACTAGTTCTTGCTAAAAACTTCTATTAAACCTGGATGGTGAATTCATTGTCAAGATGTAAGGATCATTATAGGGTGTGATTCATCTTCGCCAGGGTAGAATATCACCTTACAAATGATTTGATCTTACCAATTCGTATTTTATCCTTTGACCTATCGACAGTCAGATACTACGTAGAGGTAGAACAAAAATAATTCAGCTGTTTATCAATACATCATATTTTTAAAATGCAGAATATATGACTGACACTGGAAAATGCAGTTACCAACTTCCAACTAAAAGTTATGTTAATGGATTTGATAATTTTTTCTACTACAGACACATGACATTTAATATCATAAATTTTCTCCTTTAAGATTCCGTTATCATCAGTTCGATAGTTGACGGATACTAAGATTATGTTATGCAAATTAATAAAATAACTTCATTATGCCAGAAATTTGAGTTTACTTTATTACCACAAAAATACATTTTCACCTATCTTTCTGTTAGGATCGAAATACAGAGATCCAATTTCTGAGGCCATACTGAAATTACAAAAATCTCAAATGTTAGAAAAATTAAAATTTTATTGGTGGAGAGAGCACGACATTGAAAAGCCATGTGATACATCACCAACTAAAAGTTCAGATGCCAATTCACTAGGTGTTGAAAAAGTTGGTGGTTGCTTTGTTATGCTATTAATCGGTATGGCTGTTTCCTTACTTGTCGGCTTACTTGAATTTGTATGCAATGCATATCGTCGTGTAGCCAATAAAAAGGTTAGTTTTACTTGATCATTATTCTTTTTTCTCTGTCCATTAATTTTAAAGGTATATTTGAAGGTACTATATATATATATATACATATACATATGTATATATATATATATATATATATATATATATTATAACCCTGACTTCATCCTCAGTAGTTATTGCCCACTTGTTTAGCTAAACATCATTAGGAAAGTTAAAATACTGGTCATAAATCTCTCGCATTTCTTCTGCGTACTGTCATTTGGGCGTATTTATGAAAAAGGGATGTACATAAGTGGATTTTAAACAATTATCATTTAAGAATAGCAAGTCAACCGGCATCTCAAACAATAGACTTCGTTTAACTGTTTTATTTGCTGCAGGTAATCAGATGTGTTTAGTAGGTTACTAAACCACCTGAGATTGTTTGGTGAACACAGATGTAGTCACAAGAATTGTTTCTCATTGTGACAAGAGTAGTTAAACCGCAAGAAACACTTATTGCTACTATCAGGTATGTTGCTACTCGTAATAACAAGGCTTCCTAATTACTGAATTCGCCTAACTTCGAAAACATGGACTAAAGTTAGGTGCAAATTTAAAAAATCGTGCCACTTAAATTTGTTATTACATATACTAGATTGAGGTCAACATATATATATAACTAAGCGAGTACATTGGTTACCATCTGGTGACCGATGAGACAAGATTACATGGCCTATCTAATGTTTGTAAATTTTGGACTTGGCTAAGAATTCGTGTTGACCTACCTGACAAGTATTCTATATCTCGCAGTTTTCTTAACATATCTTATCACTACAACTAGATGTTTACTCACCCAATAAAACAGATAAATGGTTGCAATTACTTCTGTTTTAACACAAGTCCTGCTAATAGCATTTGTAATGATGGAAACTTGTAAGTGGTAGACTCAATCAAGCAGTTTATAAATGATTAGCAGCCTTTTCCACCATAGTCCTTAGTCAGATATGTTGATTTGGATTTTAAAGCTGCTAATAACCAGGACGGTAAATACACTTAAACAATTCTTTAAACTTCCGGTCAATCTCACTAAGAGCATAAATGTTTATAAAGTTAATTTGTGTTTCAGATCACTAATCTACTTTAAAACATTTGTGAGTTTATCATTTTTCTCGACTAATTCTGTCATTCTTTTGTGACTTTTTCAACTCAATATAAACAGCACAGTTTACATGAAGAAATTGCTCGTGATTTCCGTTTCTCAATGGCTTGTTCCAGTGTTCGCAGTCAGTCGGCTGAAGATGCTACAAATTTACCTCCTCCACCATCTCTTAGTTGTTTATCAAGTGATGGAGAGCAGAAAAGATCCTTTTCCGCCTCTTTAGCATATGCACCTTGTTTACCTGCTCCTGTTCCAGTAATGAACGAGAATCATGTCGATAAAGAATTAATGCAAACTAACTTTTCACAGTCATCTCGAGTTTTGTCAGCGGATTCAAAAAGTACTGCAATAATAGCCGACAGTGAACAGAAAGCTTCACCATCCCTGGTGAACACACGAGCACAAGGATATGAGTGTCGTAAGCATTATTTATACTTACACATTTTTTTCAGAATAGGTGACTATTTCTAGAAGAATACATAGGTTTTAACATTAAAATATCCTTAGGCTTAAGTAATCATCATTATGATTGATGAAACCGCGTAACAGATTTGCTTTATGACTTATCCTCTTAACTATTGTGTTGTTTTAAGTGCACATCAATAATTTACTCCATCTTCATTAAAACGAAACTACTATTTAAATGTAAGATTAACATTCTCAGTCAATCCGTTCAAATAAATAAATGCAACCAAGTTTCAAGAAATTGTTCATTTTACTATTGCCTTTTCAAAGCTTTAGTATTTATACTATGATCAATTCTTTTACGGATAATAAATTCAGTTGTTTATATCTCATCGCTAAAACTGCTAATTAAAGGTAAAATATAACCAATTAACAGATAATTTGATCAATTCAGTAAATACTACGGACTGATGCCAGTAATCGGAAACCACAGATGTCAACCACTAGTGTTTACCAGCCAGATGGAGGTGATATAAACACTGGGCAGGCTCAGAATGACTTAGTTCAGAGATCCAAATCAATTCCAACCAGCCAGCCACTTGCACCAGCTGGTAATATATAGAAATAAACCAGCCCTGTCTGACTTGAGTAGTTCCCAACTACTTATATCAATCATGTATATCATCTTGCTATATTGCTTGTTTTCTTCATTACTTTTACGATTTAGAGCGGACCACATATTTTCTTAAGGTTGTTTCTGTTTTCCAAGGGAAACTGTGGTGACATTCCACGTTGAACTGTGTATTCAATGGATATTTATTATTATTTTTTTAATGAATTGAACATCGCATTTTTCTTCGGATATCAGTCATGTGATTTCGGTTTAATTTTTGTTTATTACTGAATTGCCACTTGGTAATTAAATTCATGCGGAAGGTTCAAGACTCTCAAGTCTCCGAGTTACCGCAGTATTTTTTACGATACTATGTGTTTGCAATTAAATGAGGGAATGTGTAGATAGACATGAATATCCAAAAATTTAATGCTAAGTACTGACCCAAATTAAAGTACCCGGATTGAAGTGAAATATCTGTGTATTGCTTTATTTAGTGTTGTTCCTAAGTTGACAACAGTTTGGATTTGGAACTGTATCCAAACTACCCTAAGCAAAAAATAAAACTAGGTATTCATAATATCTGTCAGGTAACTCAGTGGTTGCATTTAGTTCATACATATATATATATATATATATAAGTTTCGTCCTGCAGTTCTCTCAAGACACTCCAAATTTCATTATTTAAATATTCATTTAGATATGTTACAAATTTCACCGGCAAAACTGTGAAAACTAACGGTAGTTTGACAGCACTGACTTTTGTTTGATAATGTATTCGTCTGAGACTTTAAAGCAAGACATTTAGAAAAGCTCCTAATTGAACCATCAGTTTTACAAAATCGAATTTGGTCGAACTCATTTATATTCGGATAATGTTATTAGAAGACGGAGATTATCTGAAAAATGTGATGCATTTGTGGTATACATTTCGAACAATCTGATCACACATTTACTTGTCAAGTCGATATATGTTAAAAAATTAAGGGCAATTAAATTAAACAAAGTGAGAAAAAAAAGAATTTAAGAATGATTAACACAACGTTTGGTAATCCAATCAAATAAGGATTACCAGGGTAGGTTAAGAGTAATAAAAAACTGTTTCTGAATACAAAGGGGGGGGGGACTTAAGTTTATGAATAGCTATAGCCTCAGTGTATTTCAATAAGCGCCCTTGACCGTTTTTATAGATGACCTTAAAGGCTAAGTTGACATCAATCTTATGGTTCATCTCGATTAGGTGTTTAGCTTTAGACAAAGTTGGTAGTCAGACATAGGGAGGAGTAATCGTGCTTTGCATGTGAGGGTGGGAGAGTGTATCCTGAAATGGTTAGAAAAACAAATGAATTGTGTAAAACCAATAGATACAGGTGTCAGACTGCCAACTTCGTCTAAAGCTAAACACCTAATCGAGATGAACCATAAGATTGATGTCAACTCAGCCTTTAAGGTCATCTATAAAAACGGTCAAGGGCGCTTATTGAAATACACTGAGGCTATAGCTATTCATAAACTTAAGTCCCCCCCCCTTTGTATTCAGAAACAGTTTTTTATTACTCTTAACCTACCCTGGTAATCCTTATTTGATTGGATTACCAAACGTTGTGTTAATCATTCTTAAATTCTTTTTTTCTCACTTTGTTTAATTTAATTGCCCTTAATTTTTTAACATATATCGACTTGACAAGTAAATGTGTGATCAGATTGTTCGAAATGTATACCACAAATACATCACATTTTTCAGATGATCTCCATCTTCTAATAACGCTATCCAAATTTATAAAAGGGACTAAGTGTTTTAAATTTCATTTGTATTCATTCAGTGTTTAATGGCATGTGCAAGTTGTTTTGGTGGAAATTTTCAGTTTATTTAAGGTTTGTTTACTGCAGAAGAATGTCGCGAATTTTGTTTCATTTGCTATCTTACATCAAATAATCAAATTTTTTCTGTATTTCCGACATGTCTTTATTTTCATTTTACCTTTCTACTTTATTCTTCTTTCGTTGCATATTATTGTAAAGTGTCAGTTTATTTTTAATTTCCAGAAGTCGAACAATTTCCAAACACTTACTCAGATACAGGTCTTGTAGAGCAAAATACTCTGGATGAAATTGATGTAGGTCGTGATCGGCCACACTTTGGCTATCTGAACCCTAATGATTCTGATTATGCTCATCGTCAACCTATAATGAATCCTTCTTATCTAGCCGAACAAATCAGCTCATTTGAAAGAGAACCTGGAGAGGAATGGCGTGTTGGTCCAGCACCAGCATTTTCGGGGACACCACCAGAAATTGGTTTTCGTCTTGGACATACTACTCTTCATGGTGGTTCAGTTGAACAGGACTCAAAAACATCAGATAACTGGTCGGGACCTGGGAAATTGCTTACCGGTAGCCAGCATGATGTTCAATTGAAAAAGGTATCATGTTAAATTCAGAGATGAATATATTTTAACCGAGTTAAACAGTTCGTAACAACGTATCAACTGACACATATATTTCATATTCACTGAGAAACAGCAAATAACCAAAAATAATCCAATTCTTTACCTCACAAGTCATAATAATAAAACAATTTATAATAATGCGTAACACAACTAGATAATTACTTCTTATAATAAGTAATACATTACTTTCATGCTTAGGCAAAAGAAGTTTCGGATACCGCTGAAAAGTTTTTACTGTTTAATATATATGATAATATTTATGACAAATGTCTGGTGAACAACTTATTGTTCAGTATTCTTTTCATCACTGCACTGAATAATTGTATTTACATAATGTTCAAGCAATCGTGAAGAAGCAGTATATTTGCCGATTGTACTGTGCTAACATTAGCAATGCTGAGTGAGTCCTTTTCATATACGTACCAGTTATAATGGTGAAGGGTAATATTATTCCTAATAATATGTTTAACAATACTATCAGCTACAATCACAGAAATAATATTTCAATGTAAATCTACCACTTAACATGTGGAGTTAAAAAAAAAACAATAAAAAAAATCACAACACAAAGATAAGCAGAAAAACGACACATTATGATTTATTAAAAGCTAATAAATTTTACAGACTTAAATCATGTAAACTCTGCTTTAAAAATATAAATACTTTTTAAGTAAATGTTCTCCTTACTCTTGGCATATAAACACTACTCACCTTTATCACTCCTCGAGAACGTGATATAAATTACAACAGGAACAGGAATAATTTCTCTCTTTTTAGGAACTAATAGAGTTACACATTCTGAGAGACACTCAGAACTGAATTAAGACTATCAGTTCTTCAGTTTAATATAGTAAATCTCAGTCAAAACCTAACGGCAGATGATTTTACGGACTAAGGCAGCATTCAAAAATACACAGTCACTATTTGTCAGAGGATAAACGTTACCACCCCCTGTTCGTCTGATCATCCATGTTCGAGTTCATCTGATTTTAGAGATGAACCTGTATCTAAAACAAAGATTTTTGGAGTCTATCCTGAATGAAATTGTTATGAGTAATGAAGGAAGATAAACATAAAAGTATATTTTAAAGTTCTACGCACTTTCAGCTATACCATGACACTTGACTACACGAATTATCAAACGAAATATTGACGAAAGCCAACGGTACATAAAAGTAATCTGGAAATTTATACCCATTACAAATCGTCTTTACTAAACGCAGTTTGTTCATATCGGAAGATATCAATTAAAGCAAGTGATTTTGTACGTATTGATATTTTGATGCATCTATTGTCTAGCGAAATCATTTTCAGATTAATCGTAGAGAAATGAACAAGCAATGAGAGAAAAATTTAGCTCCATTATATTTTACCACTTCAAATATAAGCGGAAATTTCATTATTTACATCAAAAATGTGAATGCAGTTATCGGTAAATTTTCGTCAGGCGAAATTTTCAAGTAGTGGTTATGTAACTCTTTTGGTTCTTTAGTGATGAGTCTTCCAACAGCGTTATTTGCAGACCAGCTTAAACCAAAGCGAAATGAAATTCCCTGGAATCACAAGAAAGCTGTAGCTGGCAACTAAAACGAAAGAAATGTAAAAGATAACCATAATAATAAATAAGAACTAATTGGGTTTACTAGGGAAATGGACCCTTACAACTTATAGGAGGGGAAATAAACTACGAGAAGAGTAGAATTTCAGTATATCAGGAGAGACAGCTAGAAATTTAGAGATATCATTTTTCTGAGGAGTTGAACCGCATTCAGTGGCATTACAAAAACTCACAGTATAACCCCAACTTTAATGGGTTAAAAACATTACACCCTCATATGTAGCTGAGGTTACAAAAGATAAAAATTGCTAAACGGCCCGACTTTTTGGTTTCAGAGATGACTAAGGATGGTGGTTTCGGTACTTAACAGTTGGCATGTGTCCTGACCACACGGTGGAATTTGATACCATTAAATCATGCGGTCATGTAAAAGCTCATTAACAGTTAATCAGTTAATATCAGCTGGCAGCAGAGAAAACTAAGACTAGTAAACTAGTTTGCTACTTTTCTAGCCGGTCACAAGTCCGGTTAAGAGGGAAGGTTGGGCGTGGGACTAGCGAATCTACACCACAAAAGTTATCAAAGTGCTAGAGAAGATTCAAAGCAGAGGAAATATATTAAAGATACAAAAAATTCAAATAACAATTTTATTGATAAACGGATAAAACTTGGGCACGGTGGTGGAGTATAACTCCATTATGGATAAACTTTCATTTTGATAAAATCACACTGTTATACAGTAATATTTACTGATGACCACGTTTCGAGCACAAATTATTGCTCATAATCATATCAAGGCACTCACACACACACACACAACTTTCTCGTTTGATTTGTATACATGAGTAAAAATTGATTAGACATTTGAATAAAATCAATATAAGATGAGGTTCATTCGGAAGTAATATCAGTGTTTAAAACAATTAGTTCCCCTTATGAATTTAGACAAAGCAATAAGAAGACGTAATTTGTCTGAATCGTGTAATGTATTTGCGCAACACATTTCGAACAATTTGATCACACACGGACTTGTCATGGGAATATATATGAAATTACTAGAGTTAAAAGGTGAGAAAATAGACCCAAGTCAAGTTAAAAGAACATATTGAGGGTGAAGATAACAATGGGTCCAGGACATAGATTCCCCAGCACCCATTAGTGGTGAGAACAGGAGACCTAGCTCCTCTATTGCGAAACACACTATAGAGACAACACATAAAATTGACGTTTACACATCATTTAAACCTATCTATGAAACGGGTTTGAGGGAGGGCGTATCCTAAAGTTTGTGGAGGCTCTAGCTGGCAATGAGGAAGTTTAAACCACCTTTATGCGTTCAAAGCAACAATTCGTCATCACACTCAAACTACCTTCCTTCGTAAACTTTGTTTTGATACCCGTCAGGGCAGGTGTACCATTACCTCTGTTATTTGGTTTAGTGATCTTCATTGTTATTTTGCCCTTCAATGTGTCCTTTTAACTTGATCTGGGTCTATTTTCTCACCTTTTGACTGTTCATTAATTACATATATGTACCTGTGACAAGTCCGTGTGTGATCAGATTGTTCGAAGTGTGTTGCGCCAATACACTACACGTAACGGGGAGATATTGGTGTAATCAATCAAAAACAATCAAATGGGAAATAAGATGTTTTATAGTAAAATAAGTAACTTGTTGGAATTTTATAATGTGAATTGAATACATTTTAACATTATTTATTATCCGCTGATTTGACTGGTGGTAATAATATCTTCCATATCTCTGGTATTTGCGTTGAATACCTTCTATTGCATGTGTTGGGTGTAGACTCGATGAACCAGGATTCAGTAATCAATCTCTCTCTCTCTCTCTGTCCACCTACCTATACTCCCTTCTAGAATCTTAACCCGCTCCCACCTTATTGTGTGGTTGTGTGTTAATGGACGTAGTGCTATTGCTGAGCTTTTTTCTAAATTACTTATCTTTGTGGGATCAATCATCCTAACCTTAGCCAAATTCTTATGTTCTGATAATCCCACTACTCCTGATCTGCTAGTTTGACCTAACTCACAGTCATTGCAAGGCATTTTGTAAAGTGTATTATTTTGTTTAATTGGGTCCACTTGGTCTTTCAACCTAAAGAGCCTGTCTCTGAGTGAGTTTGTAGGTTTGAATGCCACCCTAATTCCTGTTTTATTGGGAGTCCCACGTAGGGACACAGATGTTCCCTCCTTATGTGGTACAATTTCAGACGCCTTATATTTTTGCCTATTCATGTTATCATTATTAGTTTCACCATTATTTTTATTCTGCTTTTGCTCTGTTTTGATATTCCTAATGAATTTTATAGCATAGTTATTTAACACAATTCAATTCACATCATACTATTCCAACAAGTTACTTATTTCTGCTATAAACACATCTTATTCCTCATCTTATTGTATTTCATTGATAACATTAATATTAGTTCCGAATGAACCTCATCTTATATTGATTTTATTCAAATGTCTAATCAATTTTTACTCATGTATACAAATCAAACGAGAAAGTTGTGTGTGTGTGTGTGTGAGTGCCTTGATATGATTATGAGCAATAATTTGTGCTCGAAACGTGGTCATCAGTAAATATTACTGTATAACACTATGTTATTCTAACAATCTTATTCTTCTTCGCTAAAATCCGAGAGGCAAAATGACACAGCAGGCTGGTGAAAGCCAGCCATAGTGTAGGCAATCAGCCAACCAATATGTCTTCTCTCGATGACAGCGAGAATAAGAATGGAGATGTGGAATGTCCGTACAATCTAGGAGACTAAATGGAGAGGATGCTCAGGTAGCCAAAGAAATCTGAAGTTACGGCATAGAAGAGCAGATGGAATGGAGGTGGACTGTCGAAATTATCACCTGAAGAGTCAGTAAACTACTCCGGTCACCCAGATGACAGACACGAGCACACTGAGGCATTGGGTGGCTTGCATGATATCACCAGTGGCAGCCGGAGCGTTAATGCAGCCGGAACAAATCTCACCCAGTATCTTGACAGCAGGATTCAACTCAAAAGAAAGGAAGGTAAGAGTTGTCATGCAGGGCGACTCAAAGTGCTAAAAACAACGCGGAACGAGAGAAGGAAGGCTTTAACAGACAACTGCAAACAGTAATGGACAACATTCCGAATGGTGACATCAAAGTCCTCATGGGCGATATGAAATAAAGCGAAACTGGAAGCTGATAATACAGGAAGATAAATCATCACGGGTTGAGAGTTGATCGGCCAGCAAAGTGAATAATAACGGAGAAGCTTTCGTAGACGTCTGCACTTCCAATGATTTAGTGATCGGAGTCAGCGTGTACAAGCACAAGGATATACACAAGACGACATGGATTTCGCCCGACGGACACACTACGAACCAGATAGATTTCACTTCAATAGGGCTGAAGAAAGTGGAGACACAGCCTACTGGACACGAAGCAGAGAAGTGGGGAGATGTCGGCTCAGACCATCATCTGTTTCAAGGAACCCTCAAGGTGAAGCTGATAGCCTTCAAAGAAACTGCAGACGGGTCACAGTGAATTTCAAAGTTTCAGAAAGTGAAAGGCGAAACTAAAATGGACACTTTCACTAAGATAAGATCAGAGCAAAGCTGGAGACACTACGTGGCATCACAGAGGAAACCTGCGTGGAAGAACATTGGAACTCTCTGAAGGTGATTTTCAAGGAAACGTGTACAACTGTTCTAGGGAGAAAGAAGAGACAAGACAAAGAATGGCTGTCTCAACGGATACCTGGAGGCTAATAGAAGCGAGGAGAGGAGGATGGTGAAAGAGAAGATAACGCAATGCAAAGATGGGCAACAGATGGACAAGCTGAGTTCAATGTGCACTGCACTGAATAAAGAAAGAAGTGAAGAAGAGTGCTAGGAAACACAAAAGACACACTGACAACTGAAGCAGAACAAGTAAGCCGTAGGTAGAAGAGACCTCAGAAAGTTAAAGCAGATAACTAGGTCTTTATTCGACGACAGATCAACGCAGGTGAAACCTATAAAAGATGTTCAAGGTAGCCTGATTACCAAGAATAAGAAACAAATATAACAATTTTCTGATCATCTTAA